TATAATATATAATATATAATATATAATACATAATATAAAATATATAATATATAATATATATTATATAATATATAATATATAATATATAATTAATAATATATAATATATAATAATATATAATATATAAATTATATGATTTAATTTTATTATATATATAAATTATAAGGATATCTATTTTATATATCATTATTAAAAAATATCATTAATTATATATTATTAATTATTATATATCATTATTCAATTTATTTATTTATTTTTGTCTATGGTATTGATGCCACAAAGTCTTGTGATTACTTTTGAATTAAAGATTTCATGAATTTCACCAGCAATGGATTCACTATCTGGGGTGATTCATCATGTGGACAATGACCAATACCTGTCGAGGATCAAATTTTCTACCCACCTATCTGAATATCAAAGCTTGGAAGGGGCCAAACTACAGGGCTGTGTGGGGCTAACCTTTCCATGCCATTCCTGAAGCTTGTTTCATGTCCATCTATTTCTACAGATTTCTACAGTAGGTAAAGCAGGCCACAGGGATTCCCTCAGTTCATCATACTGCTAGGGATTCCCAGCTCATGGATGATAATCCCCAATGTATAATGGATAGTAACAGCCCCCGAACTAATCATCAATCAACAGGGGGCCCAGTCCCCAAACGCCCCAGGGGCCCCAGTCCTGGCAGTAGATCAACCCGTTGGACAGGCGGATACTGATCCAGCGCTCGCACACGATCTGGCGGGGTCCAAGGGTCCTTCTCGCCCAAACAAACCTGGGAGATTGGCTTTTGAACTTTTTCTTTCACATCCTGGCGACATGCTAGATCTGAAAATTTCCGATTTTTGGATTTGAAGAAACGCGACGATAAAACAATTGCCGTTCAAATCGTTCAAACGTTGAAATCATGTGAAATCACTTCATGCAACTTTGAGGAAATCGCAGGTGAGCCCTGCAGGGATCCCCAAGGACGCACCAGAATTCGAAGTGCATCCAGGTCCATGGCCGAGGAAAACCAAATCAACATCACTTGATATCACTTGACATCACTTGATATCACTTGATATCACTTGATATCACTTGATATCACTTGATATCACGTGTCTGCCCAGTGATTCTTGGTCACTCATGCATCCATTCCCTCCACCTGCCAGGCACTTCTTGCCGCTCAGCGACCCACACGGGGAACTTCTCCAAACCTGGATCTGCTAGCAACCTGAGTCACAACAAAACCAGATGCTCACATTCAGTTGACTTCATTAGGAAAGGAAAGGGAAAGAATAGGAAACGCTACTGAAGGCAGCAGTCCAAAAAGTGTCCAGCGTGATCCAGAGATCCATAGATTGATGTGAAATCGGTTTCATGCTCGCAGATTTTCTTTAGGCAGGCTGCAAATGAACCGTTGCGCGCCCCAACTCCAAAGTTCAATGGTTCATCAGCTTTGCTCTAGTAAAGGTTGCGATTTTCTTGGATCAAATTTTGAGATGCCTAAATACAGAACTGAAAAATCATCCAACCAATCAAGCATCAAAGTGGACAAGGAACTGCTCTGGAAGTGGTCCAGCGGAGTATGATAGTGTGTCGAAGACCACAGTAGCAGAACCTGTTGGCTTCACAAGTTCCGGGGTGTTGAAATCACCTCACCAAGCACCACCTGCCTGGAGGTGTTCCAAACTCATTGGTTTTGCAATGTTATTTGTCCAGGGTGGCTGGAATCACACAAGATTGCAGCATTTCCCTCATAGTTTTGGTGCTGTGGACACGCAAAAGCATCACACTCGCCTTCTGTCAACAATGGCGAAAGAAGTACATCCACCAATTCGTCAGTCACGGTGTCGGGGTCATGGTATGGCTCCTGCATCCACTTGATTGAACAGAGATTTCATCTCATATATCTCATACGCACACCTGTCGAATGTGAGAGCCAGGAGAAAGTTGATGAGGAAAAGTTGGAAAAGTACCCAAAATGCCCAGAACCATCACGAAAATTGAGGCGAGTGTGGGAGAGTCCCATTTTTGCACTCCCGACTCCTTCAGGATCTGCTTTACCGTGTCTGGCTTCGCCAAGAAGTCAAACAAAGGTTGTCCATTTGAGCGGAGCCATCCCTGAACGGCAGAGACCTGAGGGTCACAACATGGAAGGTGTTGGGGAAGATGTGTAATTTCTGCTGGAAGCTCAGCACATTCTGAAATACACTTCAACCATTCCCATGTTTGAAGCTGAGTTTATGCACCACTGGTTGGTGTTTTAACCCATCGCAGGAATATGTGTGAGTTGAAGGTCATCATCAGCATCATCATCATCATCATCATCATCATCATCATCATCAGGAAGGATCAATATGGATCGATATGGATCGATTCGATGCGAAACTGCTAACAAGGGTCGCGGCTCCCAAAACAGAGCTGAGCCCTTCACAATTGGCGTGATAAAAGGCGGCTGCTCGGCAACATGCAATTCCTAGGTGCATGGGATGATGTCCCAATAGGGCTGAAACCTGCAACCGCTTGGTCCATTTAAATAAAACCTTGCCGGCAAGATTCTCGGAAGTTTGGATTGAGAATCATCAAGCCGCTGAAAAGCTCTTGTTCGTCAAGAGCTGCTTGTAAGCCTCATGGTGGCTAGGTACTATCTGCTGTGAGTCAGTGTAGGTGGCATTTAGGTGCCCCAATACAGGTGGAAAACCACTGTCAGCTTTCCCAAGTCTAAACATACGAGAATTGAAGGCGCTGGTTCCTCTACAACGCTACATAGGGCTGTGGGAACCATCTTCAGAACAGCCTACGTTGGGAAAAAAGGACGGGTAGGATCATCTCGTGATGGATGATGAAGGCTACCATCCAGTACTGGTTTGTGGTTGCTTAATGTTGCTTACATCCAAAAAGAAAATCTGTTTGAAAAAAGTTCTGGCGCAAAAACCTGAATCTCACTGTGACCCAGCCTGAGATTGATCCGATGGAATTCGCCACCAAGGCAACACCTCAGGCGAGTGGCCCAGCGTCTGCTTGGACGTTCGTCATCATTCATCTTGTGCATTCAAGCTGCCATTGGGGCCTGATTGGATGATCTCTTTGGTAAAGTCCCGAATCTCTTCACTCCAAGTGTAGAAATTGTAAACCTCACAGGGTCAAATTTAAGTCATTTGGGGGGTTCCATCACAATGGGGGTAACCCATTTTAGCATCCATTTTTAGGGGATTTTCCATCACAAATCATCCCTTTTGGGGTACCCATGCAGATGAGATCGTCAAGCCACTGATCCCAAAGGATGCTCCAAGGGCACAGGGACATCTGGTCGCTCACCGCCCCAAGCAGTACCCAGGGTTGCTATCGGCGATCCCAACCTGTTGCTATCGGATTCCAATAGGAGGGACCTATGAAGACAGGAGACATATAGGTGATGACAAGTCTCCAGCATGTCATATTCCGGCTGAAGGCCATGTGCAAAGTTTGGTGATAATAGTGACGTAAATGGCATCAATGAACCAGTGACCACCCGGGTCTTCTGGTTCTCATGTCCTTCATCCGGTCCTGACCTTCGTCCATTCTCCCCGTTGATCTTGCGCCCTTCCTCCCCATATGGATCAGGTTTCGAGCCTCGGAAGTGCATGGAACCACCAATGGGCAACCGTGGAGCAGTTTCGAGCATCGTATCTTGCAAAATACACAGCCCACTGCAGTCCACTCATCCGTCCGTCAAATCAATCTTTATGACCTTTTGATGCATTTGAGAGAACCTGTTGTGCTTTGGCAATTGATAGAAATTGCCTTAGTGCCTATGTTTGCACTGAATCTGTTGACATAGCCGTGTATTGCTGCAACGAGGTCATTTGCCGGGTGAGGAGGTGCAGCCAGGCTACTGTAGCCATATCCTAAAAGGTCAATGGAAAATACACGGAAGCCGGCTTTGGCCAAGGCTGGCATGTTTTGACGCCAATGATCTGCATTCACAAACCTTGCCCAAAGGTGAGCATACAGGAAGCACTGTGAAATGGGGATGACATCAGAAAAGGTGGTCTGAAATTGAGATCACATCCATGGGAGCATTGTCTTTAAAGTCACGGTATACATTGAAGCCACACACTAAGGTTGAAAGGGTGGGTAATGACCTCTCTTTTTTTGCTGACAGGACATACTGCCAGATAGAACAGTGTCTAAAATCCTTTCAAAATAGGTCGGCAAAGAAAACGCCAGTCTAGTATAGACTTTCTTCGAGCTCTTTCTGAAACGTAATTTTCATTAATGTTCCATCTCCGCCTTAAACTGACCTCGTTTTCCAAAGCTGCACTTGTGTATCTTGTTTATGTCTTGAAATTGCACCTACCTTTTTTTGGGATTGGCCCCATCCCATCTCGCGCCTCAATCTGGTGCTTAAAACATAAACAACATCCACGCGAAGACTACTACTGTACATGTGCGCTCATATTAACCTATTTAAGAGGCTGCCAACGTTCACTGCCCCACTCCTTCCAAGACACAAACCATGGACCAGCAGTACAGAAGGCCCATCGTTTTTCTCCCCCATGCATTGGTACCGGATACCTTTGCCAAAAAATAATAACGCGCAAAGCGGTTCGTTCATCGATTGCACAAACCAGTGTGTCTGTCATCTGCACTTTCCTGCCACGGAACGCTGTCCTCGCCACTGCCAGAAGCGATTTTCAACGCCCTGCGGATTGGTCTGAGGGATGTCAGCGTCTGCCTGGACAGTCACAGGAATCACCTGTTGATCCTGTTGTGATTTCAACTGATGCTCTCCAGCGCAGCTTTTCGGGCCCCCGACCGCAGCCAAGGCCGTTGGCGCCCACGAGCGGCCAGGCTTCTTCAACCAGGATCCCGATGGGCAGAAGGCAAAGCGCAAAAGCGGCGAGAGAAGTAGGGCCTTGATGCGAATCACACTTGATAAATTGGATGATTGACATATCAATAACATTCAATAACCACATTTTCCTACAAGAGTCTACAAGTACAGTAGGACCTTCAAAACCTGATTTCAGAAATGTCTTGAAATGTGTGAAGAACATTAAAGAACATTGAAGACCAGAGCAGGGAGTTCGGCTCGCCGCAAAGTTCTCGTCCTCTCTAAGTGCTCTAACTAACATCTCTAACTCTTGAATATTTTTTGAAGAAGTGCTGACAGGCAACGGCACGTGTAAGCAAAGTCGAAGTCAGAACTGCTGGATATCTCACTGACAGGAGCTTCTGCCTATATGTTGATATTTCTTTGCAGAACCCTGTGCTAGACATTGAGAACCAAAGGTCCCATTAAGTCCCATTGAGTTCAAGAGGAATAGCTGCATCCTTGATATTTATCCAGCGATACCCTCAGGCCAAGCATCTGCGAGAAGCGGCCGAAGATTGCGGTGAGCCATCGCTTTCAGCGAGGATCAACGAAAAATCTAAGGAAACAAAAGTCCCAGAAGGGCTGGGATAAGCTAAGAATGATGGGACGGAAAAGGAAGTTGACTGAAAGGGCCAGTTCGTTTGCTGGGACTCCCCTGGGCTCACTTTGAGGTTGCCGGTATGTTGCTCTTGCAGAAACCTTGTCGAATCAGCAGGTACTGGAAACCGCGGCAGTGGTTTGAGCAGAAGCATAATTGCAAAAGACATACAAGATTCGTAGACGTGGTTTTCGTGGTCTAGTCTGTGAATGCACAGTGCAGCTAAGTCAAGTCTACTTCCAAGATCAGTTCAGAGCGGTGAACTTTTCGTCAGGGTCATGCAGAAGTCGAGGGGCAAGTCACCCCACCCCGGTCTTTGGGAACAGAGCTGTGAGCAAGAGGTGTGGCATCTTGATATGAAGCTCTGCATCAAACAATTCGCCAGGTGTATCCCATTCCAATGAAAGACTCCTTGCACTTCCTGCTCAAACAAACCCTGTTAGCATGGCTTGCACATTCACGCAGTTTCAGAATTCACTACTTTTCAGACTTGTCAGACTTATCAGCACAACCTCACTCGGCCCATGGCCATGGCACTTCCTTGATCTCTACCTGCTGGCGATGTCGGAATGGCATGGAATGGCGGGAAAGAAATGAAGCTTGGAGCATGTTGGACCAGTTGAGGTTGACTTGGACCGGCACCTGGAGATCCTTACAGCTCTTGTGATTGCCTGACAAAGAGAGCATTTTGTGTCACATTTTGTGTCACATTTTATGTCACAAAGTGTTCCGAATTTTCTCCCACCTCACACCTTCTATCAGCAGAGTAACTGACCGCTGAAACGCCCAGCCTGTTGAAAATTCCACCTGCAACAGATACCAGGAGTTTCTCCCAGTCTTTCTCTGATCTTGGAGCAAGGTACCTCATGGATTGAGACCAACAAAAATCAAAGCCAACGCAACGGAAGAAGAAGACGTATAAGAGGTAGAAATGATACCAAAGAAGATTTAATGATCTTAGCATCTTCTCCTAGTCTTAGCCTGCTGGTCATGCAGGGCCCAAGGTTTCCCAAGCGCACTCGTCCTCTTTGGCCCCATTCTTCGAAGCAAGTTTGCGCATGAAGTCCTCACTTAGTGGAAGTCTCCATAGCCCAGAATCTGGGAAGACTGCTATTTCGTGCTATTTCTGCATGTGTGAAACAAGTGAAGGATCACCTGGTGCATCTGGGATCGCCCCAGCCTCGATTCGAAGTTTGTCCGATGACTCAGCCGGCACCTCCATAGTCCGAAACGAAACATCATCATGGAACCATATGGAGCCTACCCTCTGGTAATTTAACATAGCTATGGAAGGTATCTCCCATTTGGGATGGGAATGCCTCAGAGAAGAAAGCTGTGTGCTTTTTGGACCCGAAGTCACCAAAAAAGGAGCAGTGCACCTTGGTCGAAGACTTCTTCTCAGACTTGGGTTTCTTCTCAGTTTTTGGCTTCCTCATAGGTCAAATCACCATGGCACCACATGACGTTCACTTCCAGACCAAGATCATGAATATCAAGCAATCTTGGTTCTATTGGGCGAAATCCTATATAGTATTATAGTATAATTATGGTAAATAGAGATTCTGAGAGTTGTGTCTTTATCTGAATTCCTTCCAGCAACATCAATCAGCGAGTATCCGAAAAACAAAAATGCCTTCTCTGATTACCCCAGACCCCCCAACATTCATCCCAACAAAAATCAACGGCATTTTTCATCATCTTTCTGCAGCTCAGCCAGTCTGGCAAACGCTTGAGAAACGCGGAAAGCTCAGCTGCGATTGCAAGGTAGCAATGGAAGGGAAGCGCAGTTGGCGTTGAAGGAAAGTGGTGAAGTTTAATATCTGCCACTCAGCTTTCCCTGCAGTCATCTGCTAAAAATCCATGCGCGGTCTTATGGCATGCGCCACACATAGATTGTCGAGGCTGCGACCCAGACCTATCTGGAACCCACCCTCTTCACTTTGGAGCGGGCCTGCTTCCTGAGAGGAAGCTGTTGCAAGACTGCAATGCAACGCTTGGAAAACTTTGACTTGATTATGACTCCAAAATGGCTTCGCTCACGGCCAAGATCCGGTTCAAATGTTTGATGTTCGAGGCAACTGTGTATAAATGGACAAGGCCCAGGCTTCTTCTTGGCTTCTCTGACATGCTTCAGCTTTTGTTCACGCGCTCGAGCCTTCATCCCCTGCCAGCATCTTCAGGGGGCCACAATGGATCCAGTTGAGAAGCAAATCTGGAAGAAGACTCTTCCAAAGACCCAAACAAATCAGCCAGTTTTGATTTCGCAAAACAAAAAAAGTAAACAATGAGAGTTTTCTGCAGCATCTCACAGTGCGCCTTGACCACACCTTTCTTGGCACCTTGAACAACTCGGGCGAAGGTTTCTGTGGCTTTTGTCTTAAACTTCTCTTTGGTCACCTGGAGAAATGACCAGATCATCCAATGGCGGGAAGAAAAACTGAACGAAAACTGCACAAATTTGACAAATGATCACGACACCATCAACTTCCGCCTTGGGGTTCAAGCGCACATAAGCAAAGGGCTCAAGCTTGGAGCCCTGGCAGATCCCATGGCTCAAATCTGAATCAACAGCGACACCTGTGAGCTAAAGATTCAGATTTAGCCAGGATGATTCATTCCTGAGTAAATGCAGTTCCTGATTAGTAAATGTCAATGTTAAGTAGACAAAAAGGAAGTGTCCGGCCTTTCGCTTGGCATCGCCTTGGGCCTTCTTTCGGCCAGGCTTGTAGGTATCCTAAGCGATTCCAGACGTCCAAGAGGCACTTCCACGACGGAAATGACGGGCGGAAGGGCAATCAGCTTGATCTATCTTGATCTTCCGCGAAAGTGGACAGACCACTCCACATAGAAATTGGGGTTACTTCCAAGTCTGCATAGGAGCACAGCCCCAAGGCGTGGTAGCACAGAAGAACCAACTTGTTGGGAAAAAAAACAAGCATTACACGACAGCCTCCACAGCTGTCAACTGGTCTCAGTTTTCTGCCACCAGCTGAGTTTCGTGCCAAGCCCTTGATGAGGTGCACTCCTTTCCTGGCGAAGAAAAGCACGGTATGTGACATCCCTTGTGGTTCTTAACCTATATGCTCAGCTACACATGATTCCACGGAAATTATGGGGATGTTATGTCATACTATATGTATATATATGAGCCCGGTCCCCGGACCCCCCACACCCCCCCCCTCCCCCCAATGGTATCCCCCCCCCACTCCTAACCCCCCCACCCCCCAAAACCTAGTATTTGCATGTTATTTGCACATATACATACACATATACACATATATACTCCCCTTTCCACCCCTCCACCCTCGCATCTCTACGTTATTTGCAGCACTTGAGTCAGAGCCACGACCTCGTCAACGGACCTTGTCTACCTGTATATTTCTATCATAACCTTTTTTTCGAACCGCCTATAGCGTGCCTCGCACATGGTTTACAACATATTTGCTACCTATGGATTACGCAAAGCTTACCTATGCAAACCTAGACATATGTACAGTAGAAAACAATATATATATATGCACATTCTAGATACTACATATTGATATCTTGATCTTGTATCTATCACATAGTTTGTTTACATTGTACATACTGTACAAGTATATATATATACATATATATATATACATAAACTCTAGATATACAGCGTGTATTGCTGTCAATATTCAATATACCACATATACTATGTAAAATTTATTCAACGAACATATTTACCTATATTGTATATATTACATCTACTGTGGATACAGTACATGTGGCATATACTATCTATATTCTATCAAAATCCACATATTCGATATATATATATATATGTTCAATATATATATATATGTTCAATATATATATACATATATATGTCAAATATATATATATTACATATATATATATTGCATATATTCTATTTATATCTTACATATTATATATATATATGTTTATATATATATATACACCACACATACACTCTATATTACATATAGTATATCCATTCTAATTATCGATACATATGCACTATATGCACTATATGCACTATAAAGACTACATACACCATGATTTCTATGTATACTCACCAGTGCTGCTCACGCAGTACCTTGGACATTGCTGGCACACTCCTTTCACTGAGCTATATATTTTGCGTATATCGGCTTGGCTGCTGAGAAAACCCCCCCTCCCCTGCCACAGGGGGGGGGAACCATCTGGCTGGGGGAGGGGGGGTGTGGGGGTCCCTGCTCATATATGTATATATATATATATTGTATAGTACTACTTACTAGTATATACAATATCTATGACATCTATATAGCATAGATATATGTGTATATTATATCATCCTGGATGTACTACACAACCGACAACCGCCTTTTTCATCACCCCCCAGCGAGATCTGCACCTGGCTGCCTTGGCTTTGGCTCTAGCCTGGGATGACTGGGGTCGGTCCCATGGAACCCAATGGCCTTGGAAATAGACTTGGCACATCTTGGCACCTTCAAAGAATCTGATCGGTGCTATATGCGGGCCTCTGCTCGAGCTTTCCTTTGCATTGCCAGTTGAGAGAGCCTTGGCCACGGCAGCTATCCTGACACATCTGGAACCCCAACTTTGGCCTCTTTGGAATATGACTTTCGGATTTTCCATGATATAGTGAAACATATTCCCATACTTTTGGAATATATAAAATATAAACACACGTTTTTTCCCATAAAACTCAATATTCAATATCCATGGCATAGTGAAGGGTTTGCCCAGAGGTCCACCACCTTCCCAGCCGCGAATCTGAGGCCGTCCGACGCCTTGGGCTTTTCGGAGGACACGCCATGTGAAAATTCTTTGGGCTCCTCCTTCTCCTGAAACAGAGAAAAACTTTGGGTCAGACAGATGACCATTGAATTTCCAATGTTCAAACAGATCAAACAGGTCAAGTTTTGGGTGAACTATGCTTCAACAAAATAGACCTAATATGGACCTAGTGACCTAGTGCCTCTTCAAATACGCACCTTCCCAGCCCCCAGCTGGGACCACCTCTGCTGTCTCATCCACCACCAGGCGGCCGTCAGTTGCAAAGCGCAGGCCATTGCGCCGCAGGGCATCGACCTCCGGTGAGCCAAAGTGGTGACTGAAAATGGGAGCCCCAAAAAAAACAGAAAAATGGCCATGTTTCATGGGAGAAATCTGGGAAAATGAATGAAAATGATCCGAAATCGAGTTGATCAACTGTCATTCAAAATGACAATAGAAGGATTGAAAGCCTCCACAAAATTTCAGAATCTCATGTCTGACCAGCAGAATGATGCAAGGAATACGACGTCTGGATTTCAGCCGTGCACGCTGCTGTTTTCATGGAAGCAAGCGGTCAAGCGATTTACAGCGCCGCGAATTCCTGGAATCTTGTGCCAGAGCTCCAGTATCTTTGAAACTTAAACTATGAAGCATTCGCATGACTCTTGACTTAGTCACTAAGTCTAAGTCATTCCAATCTCATCCAATCTCTCTCTCAGATTCTCTCAGTACTTCAACGCCATGGAAAAAATGGGTCATCTTAATCATCTTAAGCACCGCCGAGGTTGCGTGGGCCAATCTTTCCTCGCCAAATGCGGTCGCCCAGTGGAGGCACCGGCGGTTTTGCCACATGCACATCTTCCACCTTGGGCGGGGCGAGGCGAGAGTAGGGAGGGGCCCCAGGCAGCTCGGACCAGCAATGGACATAGCCATAGATGTCTTTGTAGTATGTCTCCTCAATGGTATCATGATCGAAGCCAATCCCCTGCAACTTCAATGAGAAATGCTTGGCCTCCTTGTCCACTTTGGTAATCATCAGATTTCCCAGGAATCCTCCGACTTTTTGAAGCTTCTTGGGCAATCCACGGACCAACCTCCAACGGAGGAGGCCCAAACACTCTGCGTTGATGTCAATCATCAATCCTGCTCGAACTTTCTTCACAATTTTCCCATCATAAAACTTGTCTTGGACAATGTCTTCGATGGTCATTCGCATGGACTTTTTCACACCGCCACGGGCGTAGGCACCGTAGGCGCCACGAGGTGGGCGAACACACTCCTCCAGCAGGAGCTCTCGCACTTGGCGCAGCGCCAAAATGGCATCTGAGTTGCTCTTGGGCTTCTGATCCATGATGTTCCTCACCTGGGTGCAATTGGTTGATTATAAAATGAGAATATAAAATGAGAATATCAACAACAATGCATGTGAACTGTGAACTGCTTGGCTTTGCAAAAAAACAGTTTCTTGAGTTTCTTGACCCTTGGTTCTACTACATAATTACAAATACTTAACCATTGCAACGCGAGTGACGGACACGGACAAGTTCTTCGGATGGACGAGCACGGTGTCGGAGACAATTCGGTTGTAGAGAAGATCATCAGGTTCTGGCTGCTCCACTTCCTGCTGAAGCTGTGGGTGAAGCGGAATGAAGGCGCCCATATCTCCTTCGGAAGCAGCTTGTTTTGGAGCGGTCATGTTCCAGAACTCCTTGTTCTCACAAGCTTGGAACTGGGCCAAGACACTGTCTGAGACATTCTTGTAGGAGATCTTCTTCGTGATTTTCGGGCGAGCAGGTTCTGGCTTTGAATCCTCTCGCTTCATTGTGGAGGAAGTCGGAAAAAAACAATCTGTAGTTTGTCAATCCTTGGGACGAGGGTCCCTTTTACAAAAGTCGTTGAGCCAACGGCTACAGGAATGCCGACCAAATGGTGATGTTATTGAGCTGAGTTCAAACATAGCCACCATGAGTATCTGCACCATCTGCACCTGAAATCATCCAACCTTCAGCACAAACGGCTCTCTGAATTGAGAAGTGACATGTGCGTGGCCTTGTTCTCAGCGCCCGCATTGCCCACCTAGCATAAATCAACTGGTTTTTGAATGGCAGTAGAATCAGAATCAAACGGAACTGCGGGTGTCACACAGTGTGTCTCTACGTGTCTCTACTGTTTTGCCGGCCTGTGTGCCTCTGATCCTCTTGGAGGGGGGCGCTGAAACGGTGAGCACCTGCAGGTCTCGGGTCTCCAGGTCTCCATTGGTCTCCATCCGAGCAAACCACTTGTCAAACTTATCTAATTCACTAATTTGACTAATTCATATCAGTTCACTCATTCAAAAAAAAACACGTCCAGGGCACTGAATGGGCTGCATCTGCAGACATGAAATCGATGGGAACATCACCATCTTCTTGAATCCAAGTTGAGGCCTTAGTGGTGACTAAGCCGTGGCGTGATTGTCCAATTCCAAAAGCCGAAGTCACGTGGTCGTTGGCATCCTGATCGTTTATAGTCTGTGTTCATCTTTTTCTAACAGTTTTCTTCAGGAACTGTCAGGTTCTCCTTGCGTCCTATGGACTCCTGTGGACTCAGCTTCGAACAGCAACGTCCGTGCGCTTGCGCTTGCCTTGTTTGCCTCTTCCGCGACCCTGCAAACGGGTTGGCGTAAACTTGCCTGACTTAGCCACCATGCTGCACTGATATGTATATATATATATATACGTGTATAATTAACTATATATATATGTATGTACATATATATATAATACACACTTATGTACATATATGTATGTGTGTGTATGTGTTATGTTATGTTATGTTATTTTGTATTGTATTGTGTTATATTATAGTATATTATATTATATTATGTTATATTATATTATATTATATTACATCATAAAATATATTATATTATATTATATCATATAATATAGTATTTTATATTAGATTTTATATTAGATTTTATATTACAATATATTTTACAATATAATATAATATAATATAATATAAATATAATATAAATATAATATAATATAACATAATATAATATAATATATTATGATATAATATTTTATAGTTTATATTATATTATAAAAATATGTTATATTACATATTATACTACTATATTATATTATATCATATATTCTATTCAATTATATTATTTGATATGATATGATATTATATTATATATTATATTATATTATATTATACTATATTATATTATATTATACTATATTATATTATACTATATTATACTATTTTATAGTATATTAATATATCATACTATATTATATTATATTATATCATATTATATTGTATTGTATATTATATTATATTGTATATTATATTGTATTATGTATTATATATCAAATTATATTATATATCAAATTATATTAGATATCAAATTATATCATATTGTATTATATAGTATATTATATAGTATATTAGTTAGTATATTAGTTAGTCTATTAGGTAGTATATTATATAGTATATTATATAGTATATTATATAGTATACTATATTACATAGCATATTATATATAGTATATATTATTATTATTATTATATATATACTGTACACATATATAATATCATTGGTGATCCAAAAGAACCCTTCCACTTTCTTCACGAATGCTCGTGAGCGAATGCGGGGACCAAAATTCTTCACATGTTACCAGCAGCTCCTCTTCGTCGGACTCGGCTTCCCAGGCATCCAGGAGCGCCTCGCAAGGGAGTCTTAAAACATCTCATGGTGAGAAAATCTACTCCAATGACTCCAATGTGGTTGGGATTCTGAAATTGGCCATTGAACCTGAAATCATCCGAATTTCTGAGAGATGCTCGAAGAGGACTCCATCAATATCTTTGAAAGAGAGTGGAAAGAGAAAGATTAGAGTTATGCGGAACCTGCACAGCGTTGTGCGCCATCACAGACTCTGTTGGAGGCTCGTTCTTGTCGCCTGTACGCTAGCAGGGCAGGAACTGTTGCACTGATTGTGCCTAGAACAACTGGCGAAAGTTCATTCAAGTTGGTCTCTGTTTTCAAAGTTGCCACTTCTCCCGAAGATCAGCAGAGGAATCTTTGATTACTTTAATTCCTATAGGCAAAGCCATTCTCAGAGGCCTCCTCTGGTCCTCTTTTTTGCCTGTCCAAAACATGGCAAGTGTGTCCTTGACCATGAACTGCACCGTATGTTGTCTGGAACCTCTTAGAATGATGGAAAGACAAAAAAAGACATCTGGAAACTACTGGAAGTCGGCAAAAAATGTGTATAACCACTCAATGGATGGACCCAGTGAGGATCTCCCAACAACAATAATTTCCCTGCTTTCGTCATCGAAGATGATCCAACTCTGACAGCCGCATGGGCCCACTTTGCCTTGCCAGCATCCGGAGCATCCATTTTGGCATCTCCATCAGGTTCCGCCAAGTCAGCCTGTGGAGCGCTGGAAACCTTCGGATGAACTCACAAACTCCAAGACATCACCCGGACGCACCTCCGCCTCGTCTCCCGCCTAAATGGTAAGCAGGACAGTTACAGCGGGTGGCAGCGGACACTGGAACACGCCCCTTGACCAGGGTCTGTCTTCTCTTCCTTACTAGGCAATTTGATGCAACATGGGTCTATATTGTCTTGACGCAAATATATCCAAATATCAGAATTTGACTTGTGCCGCTCGACGAATCGGCATTCGCGAGACTGCCCCTTTTTGCCCTTTTTGCTCAAAATTGTCTGTCCATCGTTACCCTTTTTGCTCATTGGATTCTGAATAGTCTTGGTCGCCTCTCCATCCCAGATCAATCAACGCGCCTTGAAGCTTTCCCACGTCTCCTTGGTCTCCGCCTTGTCTCTTTTGGCCTGACACCAAATCTGGTGAATCGAATGTCCTACAGCAGTTCAATTCTAACACTGGAGTATGGAATCCATGGAAGTAATATGAAGATTATGAAGTAATTGTGTATATTGTTAGGTCAAATGGTCAGCAAGTTTGGCTTGAGTTTCACTTCTGGCATCATCCCCTGTCAAATTGGCGGCTGTCCTTAGATTGACCCTTTCGGTGGTCCCAAGTCAAAGGTCTCAGCCTTGCGGCCGTTGGTTTCTCCAGTGGTTTCCTCCTCCATGTCGCCGTCCCAGTCGTCAGCCTGGAGTCTTCGAGAATCGATACCACTGCAATCAACTTATCCGTGGCGATGCATTGCGATGCCCAGCCTTTTCTCGAACCGTCTTTGGGCGGCCTTTCCTCCGGTCACTTTGCGGCAGATGGACAGAGTCAAAGCATGACACCGCGAACATGTCCCTGTCAGATGTAAAACATAATCCAGAAAAGTCCAGTTTCATAACTAGGGTTCTAACTGACTTACAAACTGGGGTAAACGGTAAACCACCAAGAATGATGATGGCTGAAAGACTAGAGACTTTGCCTGGTCCCATTCTGTGCCAGCCTGGAGAATTGCTTCTGAACGTGTCGCAGCAAGGGTTGATGTGCCTGACTCGTTGCATTTCCAACCACGTAAGCGCCAAAATATCGAATGCCAAACGAACAGCCTCTTCCTATCATAGATAGAATCCGGACGGACAGCCTCTTACTACCATAGATGGAATCCGGACAAGTTAAGACAGGACGAAAAATGATGTCAAGTCGAAGAACAGCTTTGGCCCAAATGAAATTTTAGTGTTTCAAAGCTGCCCAGTCAGTACTGTGCCTTTGGGAATGTCTCTTCCAAGACTTCTTCGGGCAAGATCTGCAGCAACAGGCGGGGCAAATGATGGAGTAGTGGTCAGTGAATGCATCAATTGAACGTTGGAATATATGCAAAAACACATCTATCTCTATTGACTCAAAGAAGCGTCATGCAATGTACGATGTAGTAGTTACTGAGTAGTTTGAATTGTAGAGACCGCGACACCACATCCAACATTTGCATTGCACTGCATGACATATTGCGGGTACTTGTGAGTCAAGTCCGTTGTAGTACGTTACACTAAAAGCAGGCCTGTTGCTCCAGTGAGAAATCACTACAAAGCAACAAACGTCCAAAAGCAACACCAGAGATTGAGATATTGCCTTCACCAATCTCTCCACGATGCTCCGCACCAACATCTTGGCCGAGGCCAAATGCCGACTCTCGAAGAGCCTGGAGATGCGCGACATCGTCCATTTGAGGTTTCTGCTTCAAGGCTTGGTGGGAAAGTAGTCCTGATTTACCACCTCTGATGATAAAAGTAACCATCATCCTTACATCATCAGCATTGATCGTAATGAACTTGATCATCAGCAATGATAGCATGATCTACAGTACCACAAGAGTGTGCATGCAAGCAATCCCGAGAGCACGGCTTCATGATCTTCGGCAGAAGGTCCAACAGCCCCTCCTGCGTAAAGAGGAGAATGTTCAATCCATGATGTTCAATAATTATCCCAATTGATGATGTTCCTAATGGAGGATCAATCCATATCAATCCCAATTATCCACAATAATGGATTGATGATCCAGATGTTATATCTGTTATATCCCCATAAATTGCTGGTGATGAATTTCCATGGGGATCATCCCACAGAGAGAAACAAAAAGCTCCTTCGGCACCACAAAGACCACCACCTTGGTGAACTTCAAGGCACCGCGCCACACCTCGAAACAAGGTCTGGTGATGTCTGGTGGAGGGACTGGAAAAGCTGGCAAACATAGAAGACCTTCGTAGAGAGATCCGACCATAGCAACAAACGATACCAACAAACGGCCAAATAGGAAAGGCCAACTTCATGTGCATCTGTTGCTCAGAGTCGCAGTGTTGAAACAAGATCTAGGATGACGTCTATAAATTTGTGCCAAACGTGGACATGACCAGCCAGACTATAACCAAGAGAAACATCTGCTATGGCAATCGTTCTGGTTGGACTCTCAAAAAGGACAACAGTCTACACCTGCGCATCACGGTCTTCAAGAAGCAGAAGCACCACCTGGCAAATGGAAAGCTTTACATTGCACTGAAGCTCCCTGCGTCATAGAAGGGAAGCAAGCTACGATCATTTGGCTGGGGTCATGAATCGTCAAATCAAAGAATATAATACAGTGTAATGACATCTTCTAGTCATTATGTGTTTCTTCGTTGCCAGAGGAAACAAGACTCGATGCAAAGGCAGTAGGTATGGGATCACAACTTGCAAGAGAACAACACCAAGCTCTGCTTGGTAGCAACCATCGAAGTAGGGTATGCAAAACTCTAGACTGAATCCTGGATTGAGTCCCATACTTAGACCTACAGTATGTAGTTCAGTTGAAAAGCATTGAAAAGCATTGAAGGACCACCTTGGAATGACAATAGAATCTAGTAAGCAATTGTGGTAAACTCAATAATTGGGTTTCCCTTCACAACTGGGGCGCCCAGCATTGATGAGACGCTTCCGCAACTCCCAAGCCTCAGAAAATGATGATGAACCATTGGATGTTGGGGTACTGAAATGCCAAATGCGATGTACTGGGTATCAGACCATCTTCCCATGATGTTCGTACAGCAAACGACTTAGCCTCAGCATGGCAAGAAGTTCAAGAAGCATGTTCGGAGAACGCTTCCGAACAACAGAAGCACAGTGGTTGCGCAGAAAAATAATATACATATTATATATATATATATACACCCCTGTATAATGTTATATATATATAATTATATATACATACACATGTAGGTTGTTGTATTTTAATAATCCCAAATAGTCCCAAGTAAAACATCCATAAAGCGAGCTACTCTCCAGGTGCCAAGGCACGCATCCAGTGCCGCCGCCTTGGCCTGGCGGCTGAGTCCCGCAAGACCTGCGGAGACCAACGTGACGATCTCGGACTGCAAGTCCTGGTGGCGATGGTGGCGGCAATTGGAAAAAGTGTGGCAAAGTGATTGGTGATTCATCATGTTTCCAGGCTCATGTGACTGGTGAATCATGATTGAGCCTGGAAACATGATGAATCATGATGACATGATGGGATTTTGAGGGGATTTTGAGGGGATTTGGACGTGCTGAATACAGATTGCCTAGAGGCCTAGAGACCTGGCAGGATTTGAGTCCGTGACCATCTGCTTCCAACACCGCCCCAAAATGCCCCGGGAGCTTGGGGCGGGGGGGTTCGAGTGAAAAATCACTGTGTTGGACTCGGGCCTGCCCCCTTGCTCAAGCAAGAGTAACTCCAGCTAGCTACCGCTAGCTTTCATGAAAAACCCGAGGTTTCCAGAGGTTTATATATCCGATATCCGAAGACTTAAGATTCAAAATATATCATATGAGAGTCCCACAGAATCCCACATCTGTTTGAAATTATATCATTATTGTGATTCTTGTTGTTACTATATTGTACTTATATCATACAAATATATATATATATAATATACATATATATATATATATATTATATTATATATATGTATATTATATATATATATACCATCCCATCCTGTCCATTTTGTCCAGTCCTGATGGATGGCAGTGGTGGCAGCCAGGTGCAAGGATTCTCGTGCAGCTTCTCGAACTGCGGTGCTCTGGTCGCGCCTCGGGGCTACTTTCAGCCGCAACTTCCGTAAGACTTTGATGCAACCCGTGTGGTTACTATCCTATGATTATCCACGTGTTATCCAATTATTATCCCATATATTCTCCCATATATATTTTTCCCCTAGCTTGAATGAATTGACTTAACCCTAGTTGGAATTCGTCTGAAAAAGGCACATTGTCTTGTGAATCCAATCTGAGGCATCCAGCAGATGAAACAACACCTCCGGAATGATCGTTGTGAGGCACTGTAGGTACTCCTGACAGGTCAACCCGTCGACCCTTCGCGACGACTTCGGCGATCAGCGGCTGGGGTCATGTGATCCAAAAGGCTGGCCTGCTTCACATTGGGCTCCGTGCATCGGGGTCCGAGGCCTCGGTGATCAGCTATGAAACTTGGTCATTTTTGGGGCGAAACTTGCATTTTAATGAGGAGAATCCTGATAAATCATTGGATTTGGGGGTACCCTATGTTGAATGGACCCTTTTTAGAATTAAACCATCCATTTTGGGTGGTCAATAATTTTGCTCAGCATCATTTCCATGTGCTAATTGTTCATATGAAAGTGGTGCGTACACATTATTCCCCGATGCAACTACATCATGTGGCGGCATCTGCAAAATGCGATGCCCAATGCATTTGGAGCTCATTGCCAATGATGAATTTTCCCAATTCGACTGACGGCGGCTGGAGCTTCATAGCTCAGCTTCCATCATGCAGGACTCAAAATATAGGTGTCTGTGTGTCAACGGAAACGGTCCCATTTTCCACTTGCGTGACATGGATGTTGGAATTATTTCCAAGCTCCACTCGATTGCTTTGCTTCTAGGTTTGCCTTGCCAAATATTGTATCAGTATTGTATCTATCTCCAAGACCGATTGTTGGTTCCATTCGTTCCAAGCTGTGAGGAAGAAGAGGTTGAGTTCAACAACTGGACACTTGGCTTCTGCCACCTTTCCAAATAGGCTAACCTTAAAATGTCTGGAGCGCAAAATAGGTCTGGCCGTGTGGACACGAAACCTCGCCATCAGCGCACATCAGCGCACATCATCAGAGATCATTGGCAAAGTGCTCACGAAATGCTAGCCGTTTGACAAACCATTTTTGCCTGGCTACCATTTCGCTCATCTTTCGTAATGTTCTCTGCAGAATACCTCTCTATTTCAACGTCCACAATGCAGCAACAAATATGGAATCCAATATGTTTTCCTTGTTGACATGGAATGCCACGCGCCCAGTAAACATGGAAGCAGCAACACTGACATCCATGTCTTCCACGGTGCGATGGACGATGCACTCCACGATGTCATGCAACATGGGGGTGTTGTTCCAAACATGCACACACATTGCAGTCGAAGATGGCACAGAAGAAACTGCCTCAGCTCTTTCCTCTGGAGTCTTTGGTCACTTTGGTCTGCAGCGAATGGAAGAATTGACACCGGGTCACATTTTTCCAGCTTTCATGCAAGCCCAGTGGCACTGGGAAAGGAACACGGTAGCCATGTGACCGCTGGAGGTTAGGCAAGTCTCAGGAAGTTTGATTCAAAAACAGCTTGAGCCAAAATTCTGGTCGCCCCACATTTTGTTTGGAGCATTTTGAAACTACCCTTTGATCCGTGGGTCCCTTCACCACACACCGGCTCCAAGATCAAATTTGGACCCGGACTGGATTCCAAGAGGGAAAGCAGTGCCTCACGAGGCTTCTCTTGCAGTGGCAACAGTTGAAATGCATTCTTCTACTGCTAGGAAAGTTTAATTCTCATCACCTCTTGGTTACGCAGCATCTTATATGTTCAAAGAAACAATTCATGCGAAACCAACCTGGCCCATGCGGAAAGTTTGCAGCTGCACCTGAAGGCACAAGAGCCTTGCTTTCAGTGCAGTGCAGGTTTGCCGAGCATCCTCAAGAGCAGCTGGCCATGAAGGCCATGAACGAAGTCACAGAATCACTGCAGGTTTGTGGATGGACATTTCCTGTCATGAAGTGTGATCTGCCAGATCTGTCTGATTTTTCGTCGCCTTCAAGGTGGACCACAACGAGGTCACCTCCTGCACCCTCCACTGCGATGCCGCACCATGTTGCATCACCTCGGAGCGATGCGGACCTGTCGGCACCCCTTCATCGATGGGCAACCGTCGCAACCGTCGAATGGGGCTCAAACAGCTGTGATAGCCCGATAGCCGGCTTTCTGTGCGCTTGCCATTGTCTTGTCCTGGCACGGACATGGCGACAGGACAGGAAACAAGCTGCTTCTGCTTGGACTGTGTTTAAGGTGATGCTCCTTGCATCAGCACATTTTGAGTATCAGAGCGCCAGAAGTTCACAGAATTCTAACAAATTCACATGGAAAAACAGGATGAACGAAGGCATCAGGTGCAATCAAGACAACCGTTGACAGTTGGTTGGGCATGGCTCTGCGTATCTTGCTGTAGCTGCCTCAATGCCACCCTTCAAAGCAGGTGCAAAGACCCGAATCACCAGCTCCAAATTCCTCGGGGCGGAAAACACATCTGGATCTCTTCACAAGTGTTGGATAGTGTTGCATTAGGCCTGCAGTGAACGGATTTCACACATGTCATCCAATCTTCATTGGCAACTCTGGGTCTCAATTGGAGTCAAGCTATGCCCAATTCTGCATGGCACAACGAAAATTGATGCGACACCCTGGGAAGCTCCACCTCACCCAATTGAATGCAAACACCAAAATCGATACGACTTGATGCCCTGATTGTAAACCCCAAGCTTCACATGTCAACCTTTGCATCTTGCGGATTCGAAGTCTTGCATCAGTCTCGTATATGCCTACAATCCTCCCGCACAAAGCTAGAAAAGGTCTAGGTTTGTCACAACGCTTTGTATGCCCCAATCATCTTCTATAAAACATCAATAGACCATCCACTTCTTAGTATTTGGATGCATTTGGGTTTGTCTGAAAATAGGATACCCATAAATCAACTGGTTTATCATCAGTTTTCCTATTAATTTGCCATTTGGGGGGTATGACCTCCTTTTCAGACACGGCCCTGATATTATGGTTGGATTAGTTGTATCCCATTTTTCCCAATATGATCCTGAATAAATCCGGCAGCCTTTCCTAGCCACGTAATTTTCCCAGGATTCTTTGGCCCTGTAATTTGTTTTTCTTAGAAACGAAACCAAACTTAGCCATGAAAAATCAGTCCCCAATAAATCCCTGTTTTCCCAATATGATCCTATATATATAATTATATATATATCATATATATATCTATTATATAAATCCCCATTAAATAAATGGCCAAAATCCCCAATGTTATCCCCTTGGACAAGCATGACGACCTTGGTCCTCCGACTCCACCGTCAAGTGGGGGATGAGCGTTGTGGCCAGGTCGCCCAAGGCAGCCACTGGCACAACGGAATGAATCAAGGGTGAAGCCGAGATTGACTTACCCTCTGGTAATTTAACATAGCTATTGAAAATCACCATTTTTAATGGGAAAATCCACTATAAATGGCCATTTTCAATAGCTATGTTAAATTACCAGAGGGTACTTGGTCGGAGATTGTTCATCGAAGATTGATAGAGGATGATAGAGGTCATTGCAATGCTTGTTTTCTGAAAATATGAAAAAGAGTCTCTGGTTTTCAGACTTGATTTCGATGAATCAAAACCAGCTCTGACCACAAAGCTACCAGTCCCGGCCGTCGCTTCCATCAGCTTCTCCAGTGGTAGCCTGTGAAGCCAACGACCCTGACCGATAGACCATGGAATTACGAAATCCTGCAGAGATGGTTTTGAACCAATGGTTGCATTGCTTGAATTTCAACATCGTTTAATATATTTCAAACCATGGGGACACAGCCATAGACCTGCACCCCACCGTGCCTTCAGCCATTTGGCCACCAGGGACTTGAAGATGGACCCAATGTAGGTGGGATCCGCCAATTCTGCATAGCTTGCAATCGCTTGCAAAGCCTGCGTGGGAGAAGATCTCTGTTTCATCAGAGTTTTCATCCGTGTCTCAAGAGTTGGATCTGGATGGTAAAGAGGAATGTCAACGCATGATCGTGATGAATGATATCTGATATCATGAGAACTGATAAATCTGATAAGAACACCCAGTCAGCTTGCACGGAGGATCTTGGAATCTCCATCCACATCAGGATCCTCCCCGGTATGTCCCGCCTGGTGCCGGCTGAAGCTCACTCGGGACGCATCCTGTCGACTGCTGACGTCTGATGACTGCTTCCACTTACGCCCAAAACTTCCAATGGCCTGCCCTTCCATCTCCGCATGCATCTTGATGTAGACATTCAGCATCTCTGGCATCACCTAGGCTTGGTTTTACTGTCATGTTCAGAGACGATCATTGGAATCTCAAAGTGACCCAACCAAGCCAATCTGAGGCAACAGCGCGACCAGAGAGTGTCTTCAGGCATGCCTGCCCAAGACCCCAACACATTGATTCCGATCAGCAGCACAGTGGCACAGTGGCACAGTGACACTCTGCCAGTCCGATATCTCGCCTTGTTGGACTCCTGTAAGGCCTCGGAGAGCCTGGAATCCACGTGCTGAACCCATGGTCACGCCACTGGATCCCAACATGTCGCAGCATGTCCCCCAAATCCTTCCGACCTGCTGCTGGGTTGTAGGCTTGCATCGCATAAGCGCTTGAAGCCAGCCTGGCAGCTCCGCTTGAGATTCATTGTCCATTCAATGTATGGTATAGACTCTCCAGAATACTGGAACCGACTGCAACACATGTCCTCTATCCGTGAACAAGAATGCTTCCAAAATAACCGGTTTCCCCTTGCAGCAGTGCTGAGGAGAGTGCCCAAACGTGATCACGCAAAGAGCCGTCGTTCTGCAGAACAGCGACCTGATCTGCTCACATCTTTTGAAAAGGTCAGCACAAGCAGCACAAGCAGCAATCAGCAGCAATCAGCAATCCAAAGAGCTGCAGGTTGATGTTCCAAGATCTTCCAAGTCTCCAGCCAGCTGTTTCGCCAATTGGCCGCCATTCGCCAGCAGTGCATTCTGCATATCCAGCCTTGAGACCCAAATAGCCGAATGAAGGGCGTGGAAATGAGGCCCCGCACTATCCTGCAGATCTACAGTCTACAACTACGGTCCAAGTAAGGATGTCTCAAAATTGAAGTTTACCACAAGAAAATCGATCATTGAACAAATCACCAAAAATCGTCCAGACTTGGAAGGCCAATCTCAATCCACTGGGTGTCCCAAACGGTTCCGTGCAAAAGCCCGGTAACAAAGCCCAGACCTTCCAAGAGCGCTGCAAACATGAGAATCCAGGTCTTGAAAATTCTAAGGGCTCATAGGCTCATAGGTTCCAAAGGTAAAATGATTTATCGTACGCAAAGCAAAAAGATACATGTGTTCTGGGCAGTTGGTTGGTCCGGGGACGCGCCTGCTCCAACAACGTCAGGTACTTTTTCTCTAAGACCTCAAACGCATGTACAAACCAGGCTGCCCAGAGAACAGCAAAGTCAAGAAGGGACAGGTTTCCTTTCACTCGAGATCTTTGAGGTTGAAGTTCAAAGGGGTAAAGACAAACAAACTAACGGTTCCGTTCCATGTCTCAACATTTACAAGTGCGTAGGATTCTTATAAATGCCCTCTGGCAATCAAACAAGGCTGGGAAAATCCCCCGTTTGGGAAGACCGTATTATAAAATATAATATAATATAATATAATTTAATATAATATAATATAGTATAATATAATATAATATAATATAATTTAATTATATATATATTATAATTATATAATATAATATAATATAATATAATGCCATACAAGACAATACAGTAAAATACAATACATATATCTACAATGCACTATAATATATTATTTTATCTATACAGTATGTAATATATTATATCTTATATAGAGATGTCCATTTTGTTCGGGGATCTCCCACTGCCCGGAGGTTTCTCTAAGTGGCCGGAGCGTCCTTTTGCGCCGCCTCATTGGCCTTCGCCTGTTAGAAAATGTTAAAAACAGCATGGGATGTTATAATAAACACAATGGGTTTTTTTTATGAATTGTTTAGTACACCGGTGTATTGGGCTCCGCCCTTTGATCCAGAAACTGCTCTAATGCCGACACACTTGAGGTATTTCAGCGGAATGGAACCTTCAGCGAGCTGGCAAGAGGGATGAAATAGTTGCCGAAGTCTTGCAGGGCTGTCTGTTGACAGGAGTCCTGCACAGTCGGCACAAGGTCCAGTGGTTTCGACTTGTTTCATCCATCTGAAGCAAGCAATCCTCACTCTCATTCCAGGTCCTTGAGCGCGAGCAACATCCAAGAACGCGACTTCTGTTCGTACTGCATATCTGTCAAAGGATGCCTTTGCAGAAGCAGTCTCTTGCAGACCGTGTATGCGAGGGTTCATCTTGTCCAGGGCAAATAGTTGATGTGTCAGTGTGTATACATATACATATATGTAAATACTGTGTATATATAATATACTTGTTGGTATTCATCCCCTTCGCGCAACCTTGGACACCCCCAATATGATATGTTTTGATCCTATATTTACTGTAACATTTTTTATATTGGATATCGGTGCAAAACACTTTCACAGATTTGCTCTCCGTACCGCAAATCAGCTTGAACCCCGAAAATCGGCACTGAGTCGGCCAACTGTAGAACTTCCAGAGGCATAGTTCTGAGCACCTGTGCAAAGTTCATGGGGGTGTCGGGGTACCACACCGTTTCAAGTAATGTTACACAAAAAAATAAAAATATAAAAACATATCATCACTTCAATTAGTTGGAACTTTATAGAGGACACAGACTTTGGCCATATTTCATGACATGGGTCACAACTCAACCATTGGTTTCAGCAGTGGTTCATTGCCACCGGGGCCGCCACCTGCTGTGGTCCCAAGGTCTTGATCACAGAGGCAATCGCTTCTTGGAGCTCCTCACAAGGATCAGGTTAATAATGGATAGATATGGATGATAGTTTATAGTTTATTGAATGGTAAAAATCCATTATTAATAATGGTTAGCAACCTTATTAATAAATTGGATGGAATTGATAGTTATGGGATGGTAAAATAATGATGTATAACACCATCGTTAACCAATAACTTAATAGCTATTGGATTGAAAAGTGCATCACCATAATTACATCAGTGACATCACTATCAAAGTAGCCTCTGACAAACACTTTTCTACTCTCTTCGACCTTGACACTCTGTTCTGAGCCATTTTGGTTGCTTCTGAAGGCAGGTCTACGAGGCTTCATACAGCACTTGATCGATGACTATTTTTCTGCTGCCAAGGCACGAGGAAGAATCTTTAGTTGGTTGACTACAAGCTTAAACTGACAAATAGAACGAATCTTCCACAACAAACACCCATTAGGCACCTCCATTGATCGGTAACTGTGCATTTTATAACTCCGAGATTTGCTCCCATTCCCGTCTCCTTGCCATACACGTTTAGCTCACCAGACCGCGACTTGTCGCGGACCTGCCACGGAATCTGTCGAGACGGGTCACTCACACGACAATGGGATTCATTTGGCCTAGTGATCTCAGTACATATATTTCATTGCTTGAGGGCATATGTATAAATATATATATATATATAATTTATTTATTTATTTATTTATCTATTTATTTATTTATCTATTTATTTATTTATTTATCAATTTACATATATATATATAAATAGGCTCAAGGCTGGGGGTTCCCCGGAGCTTCCAGGAACCCTCAGTCTTGAGCAAATACTACAAACGTCGTTATGGTATAGAGATGGGGGGTGGGGGGGTGGGGGGGGTGTAATAACGTCATGTGGAGTGCGTTGCATTGAGAGTTGTGGAAACCTTGAGGATAAGAAAATCGAACCGAGACCAGGGACAGAAGGTCTGACCTCCCTGTCTCGGGCTGGGTCGTCAGCCACATGTAGTCTCAAAGGGCAAAAAGCATCGACCACGTATAGGTCGGCTGTAACCAGTGTGGAGTTGATTCGGCGGAGTATGGCTGAAACGGCCCTGGAAGCAGATCGGCCTTTTGAGAGTGCTCCTCTGGAAACATTAAAGTCAACCATAGACAAGAATCTCAAGGAAAGCCTCCTCTTAGCCTGAGTCTCAACAAGCTTCTCTGCCGCACGCAACTCCAGCAGGTTGATGTGGCTCTTTACCTTGCAACTCCAAGCCTTCAAAACCTCCCATTCAGCAGTCAGCATGGCTTCGTTAACCAACTGGTTCGGCCCTCAACTGGCAACTCAGCCTCCTCAGTTGCAGAGCGCCGCATCTGGAAGACCCCTCGGGCAATGCAGAAAGCCAGGCCATAGGTCAACTTGGGGACGTAAGTGGCTGAGCTCTTTGTGTATGAACCCTGTATCTGCACATGACTGCAGAGGCCCTGGCATCGTAGAGCAATGGACTTTTCCGATGAATGGAGCTGAAGTGGCATGAGTCTGATCTCACTCGCATTGCCAAAGCCAACCGCAACAGCGCTTACCATTCTGGGAGATACTTGTGACTGCAATGGCTTCATTCACAGCGGCCACATGTGCAACCTGAACGGGCTTGTGGGCCAGAACGTTCCCATCGCAGATCTGAGGGTCTGAGGGGTGGTCTCGATCTCGTAAGACAGGCCTGCGCATGACTGAGAAGGTTGCACAAGGAGGTTCCAATAGGACTGCCTTCAAACAAGAAAACGGCAAATGTGAAATCCAAGCCACCAAGTGAGGATGCTTCATGTTGTATTTCTGAAAAGTTGAGAGGTCTATAGGTGGACCACAAACCAGCCCCATGGCCGCCTCGGCTGGCTCCTGAAAAAACCTCCAAGAATTCAAACATAAAAGCAAGAGGCCTGCCTGGTCTCACGGCTGGTGGGACAAAATTTTTGCTCACCTGCCTCCTCAAACTCATTGACCTTCAGGAGAAGTGCTTGTATAGGTGATAGGAGTCTAGTATAGGCCCCCTTTGAGTGGCAGCTTCGAGAAAGAACTTCTTGCACCTCGTCAGAAGCAGCTCGGCAGACCGCACCCTTGGATTCAGAGGCACCTGTAGCATACAGCCAGGAGTCAAGTCTTGCAGCAAGATTGGACATCATCCAGGGTGCCAGGACTGCGGCTAATGCCAACTCCTGCGCAACAGCCCGTGGCAAATGAACTGCAACATCGTTCTTCTCAGCAGCTTCATCGCTCGAAGCTAACCTGAAGGCATGATTGAAGATAGACATCAAAGGTCTCCTGTAAATAATCATCGATACCCAAGCTCCCATTACACAGCTGTAGAAGCCGCAAGTGGTAGCTGAAAGTCGGGCCAGCTGCAAAGAGATAGTGGCCCCAATGGCCTTTCCATCATCAGCACCGCACTTGTCCTTCTCCGGAGAATCCTCTCTGTGCAATTGCATTTTCTGAAGCTGATTGGCCAGGCCCTCTACCCCCCCCCGACTGAAATGCTGAAAAAATCGTCTATCGCCAAATCCTCAGTTCGTGTCAAATGTCGTCCACTCCGCAATGATCACCTTGAAGGATGCTATTGAACGCTACCCAGACAAGACTGTCATCAGCCTTTGAGCTGGCCTTCCTCTTTTGGCCAAGCAAATTGCCATCTCTAAGCCTGGTGTACCTCTTCTTCGCCTCAGAGCCAATAAGAAAATTCCCGTAGGCTTGAAGGCCTTCGAGGCAAGATGTGGGGAGGCCAGGTCCAAGGGTATTGCAAATTGCCCTCTTGCTGGTGACTTTGATCTGGTGATAGCAATCTTTCCTATCAGAGATGGAATTACACAAACGCTGACTCGAAGCATCCACCAAAAGATCACAAAGGTCAGAACCTGGAAGGTGGCTGCTTGGCCCTCTGATAACCATCTCAACCCCATTGCGACCTCAACGGTCACCGATCTGCCGGTCGGCTGTGGAGCTTTTGAACGCATTGAAAACGCGCACCTTTTCAAAATCCTCTCTCTTCTGCACTTCATCACGATGTAGCAGCAGTAAGCCTTTAGAGTCCCAACGGCGGGCAAGTTCAAGTATGGTCTCCCGGCTGTCTCTCAAACGAAGATATTCCCAAGGGCTTGGAGTTCTGTAGATCTTCAGAATTTCACGTTCTTTGTAAGCCATCACCAAACCATCTGAAAGGAAGTTGGAGATGTCCCAATGTCCAGTGCCAGACACCTTGGGGCGCGAGGGATCCAGGTCCCTAAAAGGCAGGAGCTCGGGAAAGCGTGTCTCGTCTCTGGGCACCTCAAAACTTTGAAAAAATCTACCATATGGGTTTGCTGAACACCCTCGCCGCTTCAAACGTCAAACATTCAACTAGGTCAAAAAGACCTGGAGAAAGCTCTGGATTCTTTCGTCCCGAGCGTAGGGTATCAAAACAAACGTCCAAGCCATCCGACTTTATCTGAGACTTTCTTTGTCAAACCATAGAACCTGCTGTGCATGGCATTGGGTCTCCTCCAAAATCATCACTTCCGCTAAAATGCCAAAAATTCATGGCCATTGCAATGACATGAACAGCTCTGAGAAGGACAAGCAATTGGCGCTTCTTGCGGGATGGATGAACGCACATCAGATCGAAGATACCTGCTGACGGCACTGGGATTGGGAAAAAAAGCCGGAGCAAGCTCTTTGGCAAGATGACGTGGAGATACGAATGGAGAAGTGAAGATAAGCAGCAAAATATGTCCTGTTCCTGAGCACAAGCTTGGTCAAATTTGTGCACCAAGACAGATAGCTGCTTTGATGCAGATCAGGGGAAGCAGTAATAGGCCCCTTCTCCTCAGGAAGCTCCTCAGGATGGGCCCCATCTGCAAAACAAGGTGGAGTCAGGTTTGCGACCCCTTCATGCTGGTTGAATTCATGGCCGGGAACTGGTAACTTGCTTGGCATTGCTATGGTCTTGGGTTTCTTCGGAAAACGCGGCCCCTTTGGCCTGCGCGGGCTTCTCCTCCTCGCCGGATTGCCCTTTCGGACTGGCTCCTTGTGGCTTCTTGACCCTTGTCTCGGATCTCCTGGTTGATAGCACCTCGAGCTCCTTGACGTACGAAAGATTCGTAGATGCCAACATCAGAGGGACCAGGGGTGAGAAAGGGCGTCCTGCAGCTGTGATTGTACCCGTCCTTTCTAGAAAAAGGTTTGCTGGAGGATCCTCCACAAGAGCCAAAACGTAGGCAAGTGACCAGTCGCCCGCATCGAATGCACTTAGCTCCAAAGCCACGACCACCAGCGCTAGGAACTCCTTTGTAGCTGAGAAGTCGTTTGAGGCAGCCGCATCCATAGCGTGTGCCATCAGCCACATGCGCAGCCCTGTCTCCTTCTGCCCCTTGTAACCACCATATCGTTCCAGGTAGGTAAGCATGGAAGGTAGAGACCGCAAGCTCTTCCTCTGTCTTCGGCAGGAGCTTCGATGGGTGAAGCTTTTTGAAAATCTTCTGCTGAACCTGCAGGAAAAAAAACTGGACTTCCTTGCTGCAAGATCCTGCTGCATCTTCTCTCTGCGCATCGTGCCTTTTGTAGAACTCGTAGCAGCTCCTCCTGAGACACCAGCGAAGTCCAGACCAGTGTCTTGATTGATAAGATGAGCAACCAAGGCCATCAGAGCTGCTGACTGTTGTAACATCGCCGTAGCCGTATCTTGACGCACGCCGTCCGCGAGGACATGGTAAGGCTCCTCTGCTGGCATCACGGCCCTGGCTTACTGCTTGGAACCTGCTCCTATGGCAACGAGTTCTGCAGCAGGAACTGCAACTCGGGACGGCAGTCCAGGGGTCTTAGGAAACGGACCATTCGCCAAAGTTGCCTGCTGCTTTAGCCATTTGGCTGTCCTTCTTTGGGGCTGCAGGTCGAAGTTCTCGTACTTCTGGCTCCTCTCGAGCGCGGTAAAAAAGGACACGTCCCTCCACCTCATTGCGAGCCCGCTCCAAAAACGGGCTCCAGGAGCTCAGAGTGCAAAGGAACTGCTGACAATGAACCTGTCACCGGGTCATACTCCCTGAGGTAGACCAAAACTGAATCCAAAAAGTTGCAAAGTGTCACTGAGAACGAAAGACCACACCGGACAACCTGTAAAGGTCCTCATCTGCTGCCGCCTTGGGGCTTCGTCAATCACCCCGGTGGGAAAGGCCAGTAGCAAGCACCTTGCCTTGAAACCAAAGGCAGTGCATAGGTCACAGTATCTTCGCCACCTGCAGCAATCAGACCTGGGTCCCAGCACCAAAAAACTGCAGCTCTGTAACTGTAACCGTCCTGCACCAACCAGGAGGCAAGACCGGGCTGCATGATGTGCTCAGCTGAACTTCACACAGCGAACCAGTATCCTGCGCAAAAAGCAGCACGGGCTCGATCCACAGGGCTTGCTACAGCAGAACGGAGCTTCCTTTTGGCCAAATCTACCAAAAACCCCGGAGTTGATGGGGGCCCCGACTCAAGTTCAAACCTGATTGTACTGTTGAACCCCCCTGGAGCTCCAGGCACAAAAGCCTGCTCTTCCACAAGCTCCCACCCACCTAAATCTGCTTCCTCAGTCTTGTCTGGGACCGGGGGCTCTCTCGCCCTTGCCAACTCAGTGGCAACACTCCTCACAGCCTCTGCCAAGCTTGAGATTGCGGAAGCAATGGCCTCGAGCTCTCTCATGCACGTAAGTGTAGGCGATCAAGCTGATGAGCCTTGCTTGGGAAGGAGGGTCTTTGAAAGGAGGGGCTGGGAGAATGGCAGAGAAAAGCACAATATGTCCAGAGGGCAAGGGAAAATCCAATGAAGATACCTCCCAAAAGGCTTGAGATGAAGACAGGAAGCACGGAGGGATGACAGTGGGCTGGGCAAGAGAAAGTCCAGGTGAAAGAGGAGAGCACCCCAGCAGCCTCCTGCAGCGAAGCAGCACCCCACATGTGACCTTGAGAGTGAAAATGGTTGCCATCACAGTTGAATCCATATATATATAATCATATTATATATATAATCATATATATATAATCATATATATATATTATATATATAATCATATATATATATATATTATATATAATCATATATATATATTATATAATCATATATATATATTATATAATCATATATATATATATTATATATAATCATATATATATATTATATAATCATATATATATTATATATATAATCATATATATATATAATCAGATATATATATAATCATACATATATATATATATAATCATACATATGAACTGCCCAAGACGTTGATATTCAAAATGATTTGTGATGACTTGTCTCCCTCCAAATCTGATGTGCGCCTCAATGAGTTCCATCGCCAAGGGCTTCGCATGCCTGAATCATCTGCGTGCCCACAAGCTTTGGGGCGAACACGACGCAAATACGATTCGGGGCACTTGATAGATAACATATGCTAAAATGTTAGGTTGTAGTAATAATCTAAAATCTTCAACCTACAATGAATGTGAATCCAAGGGAGCTACAAAATCAGAATTTCACTGGCAGCCCAAGGCGCTGAAACGTAGTAACATCCCACTGCTGGAGATTTGCCAGATCTGGTGCGCTGGCAAGGGAGCTTCACCACGATATCTAACAGATTCTAACAGTATGTCTTCCAATATGGCTTTGTATGAAAATTGGTCATTTTATGTCATGTTCCCTATTGAAATAGCCACTTGGATGGTATATCGGTATATCCCATTTTCAGACACCCATATTATAGGCTCACATCTGTAAACAGCTCAATGGTAACCCTCCGCTCCTAGTTGCGAACGCCGGGCACCAAGAGCATCAAATAGAGCTCCAACCTGGTTGTGGCCCTAGGATGACCCTTCAGGGGACTCTGGATGACTTAAGGTTGCTTAAGGGCTCCAGAAGTTGCATTTTAGGCATTGAAACCTACGCATTGCAGATGTTGAAAGGTAGGATCCTCGAGTCTGGTCTTGATGGCACCAGGAATTGTTGTGGAAAAAGAAGAAGAAGGAAGAAGAAAATATGAGTGTTCAACATCATCCAGTTCGGGAGACAAATTCTTTAGCACAATATTGGCAAACCTCCAACATTCCGTGGTCTAAAGTCTTGAGTGATGTTGTTCGCCAGTTTTGATGCAACATACTAGGCCCAGGGGCTGCTGGCAAAGCAGAGGACCAAGAGCCTTTGACTTCAAAACCTCAGATGAATGCTAAGTGGCTGAGTGTACTGGTACACAAAAGGCTGGTCTAAATGCAGAACTACGCAACTACGGTGATACAGCAGCCACTGTTGAGGCGAATAATAATTGGCTATTTGGAAGGTGTTTCCCTTATTACAGCCACATCACTTGGACACGCTTCACTGACAACAAGGGATCCAGCGCAAGAGCGGCCGCACGGCTTCCAGCAGGTCCTCAGCAACACACCAGCACATGCTGGCCCTCTCCAAATTCCATCGGCTCTGCAAAATCCTCTGTCAAGTGAAAAACCATCATCCCGTGCCTGAAGGAATTGATCGTCTTCAGCATCACCCGCAGCACTGAAGATGGTGGAGCTAGCCTAGAGCAGGTTTACAGTTCCATATCAAACAAAATATCATGCCATCCGGACAAAAAATATGAATAGGAATGAATGGGGGATAATGGTAACCTGGCCTGTAAATCTCAATAAATCATGTTGAAAGAAGCTGGAAAGACATGGAAAGACTGTCTATTCCAACTCTGACCTGCAAGACTCAAAGAGACGCCTCCTTGGCAGCACGCAGCAGCCCAGGATCCTGCTCAGAGAAGAGGGACCTCATCACCCGATGAGGCCCGATGAGTGCAGGGCGGAGCAGGAATATCAGACTTTCAGGTGAACCAAACTCCACTTTTTTTCATCTTTCTTGTGGAAGAAGCACGTCCTTTTGGGTGGGGCATTTTAAATGTAGTACCCTGAAGCAAAGCATCCCCTTAAAGATCTTAAAGGATGAACTGTGATGCATACTCTGAAAGTGTCAAGTGCTATGGCATTCTGGGACAAGCACAATATCTTCTTCGTGGCAGCCAGTTTCAGCGGCGATGCCTTTCGAGGAGTGACAGGGCCACAATCCGACAGCGTCAAACAGGCTCGGAGAGGACTGCCAAAAGTTACAACAGCATCAACAGCTGCCTCTTTGCCACAGAGTTGTGCAACGGCAGCGGCCATCGCTCTTACGAAGGCTGACACATACCTCTGGAAGGTTTGGGATGTTTGCCACTCAGATGTCATGGACCATGGATTTGGATAGTGAGGAGAGTGGTACTCTCCTTTGTCCAGATCCTCGGATATATCCTGTGGCAGTTTGGAATCTAAGAAGGGATTCCACCTCTGGAGCACTGAAAACACGCTCGAAGCAAAGGGCACGCAACGTTCAGCATGGAAAGGGGAACTTCCACCATTCCTGCATTCTGCGCTGCAAATCTCCGCGGATCACAACACTACAAGCATGGCAAAGGCATCACAATCATCACAGAGATGTTGAAAGGTGACGTGAAAAATGCAGACCTGGCAGAAAGCGCCCAGCTAACTCAGCGCGATTGGGCGGAGCCTTGGATCTATGAAACACATCAACCCTCGACGTGGAATCGGTGATTCCATGAATTTGCCATGGCAAAGTGAGACCGAATTTCGAGCGTGTTTTTTATTTTGTGTTCTCTAATAGTTCTCAGTCGAATATTTCTAGATTTTTCCTAGAATCAGTGTGCTGGGTCGAATTTGAGCGCACGCCTTAGACCCGCACCGGAACCATCTGCTCGTCAGCATCCTCATCATTCCAGCCGTCCTCGCATTGATTCAGATCTGACTCCCAACATCAGTTGATTTTTTGTTGAAAAAAGAAAATCAACATCTTTTTGTTGAAAATATGTTAAAATCATTGAAAAATCAAACCCAACAAAAAGAACCCTGGCTTGGAACTAGTAGTAACTAGAGCCCCTCATCGAATCGTCCAATCATGTCCAATCCATTGTCCCCGCCTCGGGTGTGAAATGCTGCGCCGCAAACTCAAAGGCTGCGGTGCAACAGGGATGCTGCCTCAGGTGAAACCTCCAGCCTGCGCCTGTCGTTGATCCACGGTCCATTTTCCATCCGGTGATCCTGAGCTCACCACCCCAGCAGAGCAGGGAGCCTCAGTGGAGCCGAGAGTTCGAGTCGTGTCCACTGAAAAATCTGGTGAGATGAATGAGAAACCCAGTCAAATTCCCAGTACTACTAGGAATGCTACTACTAATCATAATAATTACAGTATATTATAGTGATAATAATAGTGATACTAGTGATAATAGTCATGATGACAAAATTAATCATGATGCTACTAATAATAACAATGAGGAGGAGGATCATCATCATCATCATCAGCAGCAGCATCATCATCATCAGCAGCAGCAGCATCAGCATCAGCATCATCATCATCGTCGTCGTCGTCGTCGTCATCATCATCATCATCATCACCAGCATCATCATCATCGTCGTCGTCGTCGTCGTCATCATCATCATCATCACCAGCATCATCATCATCGTCGTCGTCGTCGTCGTCATCATCATCATCAGCAGCAGCATCATCATCATCATCATCATCATCAGCAGCAGCAGCATCAGCATCAGCATCATCATCATCGTCGTCGTCGTCGTCGTCATCATCATCATCATCATCACCAGCATCATCATCATCGTCGTCGTCGTCGTCGTCATCATCATCATCACCAGCATCATCATCATCATCATCATCACCAGCATCATCATCATCATCATCATCATCACCATCATCATCATCATCATCATTGTAACATCTAAAGTTTCGAGGGATCATTAAAGAAACAACTGGACCTCCACCGTGCCCATGTCGCCTGGTCAGAGCCATGAAGATGTCGCCCAGCTGCCTCAGAGGCGCGAAATGCTCGGTCATTTCAATCCATAGATCAATTAGATAACCCAAATGAAGGTCTCCCAGTTCTGGCCCAGGCTGGTCCGGAATCAGTTTTGAAGCTGCACGGAGCAGTGACACAGCCTCAGGCGTTTCACCAACTGTTTTGGGAGACACAAAAAGAACCTTCCAAGTGAAGGTGAATGATTGAAAGATATTGAAAGTAAGTTAAAGATAGATTAAGATGGTTCTATTATTTCATCTATTTTGGAAATATCGATGATCTGAGATGATCATGGAACCTGTCACTTTCAGTACACCTTGAGGCAAGAGCACGTTGGGCTGGGATCTCTTCAGCCTGTGATCGCTCCAAAACCAAGCGGCCAAGACTTTTTCATTTGGGGGAAAGGATTTTGAGATCATGTAGATCCCAAGATTGAGGTCAAGTCAAATCAGTGAAAATCCATCATTTTCTGGTAAAATAGTAATTAAATAATATAAAAGAAAGATCCGTTCAATATAATACTGGCACTTGTGATTGGGTGTCCTTCAGCTGATTTGAGACAGCAAGAAGTTCTCACAAAGCTTGCCTTCTTGTCTGAACGAGAGGCCGTCTGCAGCATCTGAGTCAGATGTTGCACAGCAAATTCGATCGTCTGCGAGTCCTCTAGCGCACAGGGACCATCGCTTGGCTTGGTGAAAATAAGTATGACTCCATGCGCATGAAAATTGTACAGGTTGTTCAAGTTGTTCACCTCAGCTTTGAAAAAAACTCCGGTGTGAGATGATGTCTCATCATGCTTTCCAAGATAGGTGGCATGGATTCTGCGCATGTTCACCTGCTATGTATCAAACAGCCCCTCCAGTGCTTCGCATCCTCCTGGGCTTTCTGGAGGATGGCCACAGCAGAGAGCTCGGCCTGTCTTCGCACCGACGAACGCGGATCCGACAGGTAGCTGAAGATGGGCCGCAGCACCTGCAACGTGTTCCGTTCACTTCTCGTACGTCGTACACGTCTTCCAAGCGGTACAGTTCAACCTTTAGTAGGGATATATGGTAAAAGCATGTAAAAGCGGTAAACCATGGTAAACCCATCTAATCCCAAAAACTCAAAGTCTATGCCTACAATCCAGAGTTGAAGGGGACTCTCCGCCACACGCCAAAACATAGTCGGATCCACAAGTGCCTTGCGGTTGGGCCGGGCTGAAGACTCGTAAGCAGCTTCTGCACAGCAGCTGAGGCACTGTAAAGCCTGCATTGGACTCGTGCCCAGATCAGAGCTGACTGCACTTGGTGTGGCACTTCTTCCATGTCTCCATGTTCCTCCGACCCGCGGCCAAGTGCTGGGATGATTCTGAGTGTCTCAGCCATGAGTTCCAAGAAACTGCCTGTCGCACTATCGTCTCACTTGATGAGGACCGAAACCTCAAGTCCACAGAGCGTTGCAAATATTTACAGTTGATCAAATCTCATGCAGAAGTAATCCTACGTAAGTAAGCAATAGTTCATTTCATCATTTTGGACTGACAACAACGCAACCTGTTTGTTTTTCTGCGCACACCCACCACAAAATGGCTGTCGGGCGAGAATTGTGCTTTACGATCAATGCACAAACTGCATATGATTCGTATGATCACACATGTGTAGAAACATTACGAAGACTCTGGCAGAGCTCAACACATTCGTCAAAGCTTTAGGGATCAAACACAGGTGTCAAGGCTGCCACAATGTCGTTGATGCCTCAGAGCTCTGCCGGTTTCTGGCCAAATTCTGGCATCCAACTGAGTGTCAACAATCATGCCAAACGGCCAAACGTCAGCAAACTTGTCTGGAGATGAGAATAAAACCAAAATCCACTGGTTGTTCATCATGTTTCACACTAAAATTCTTATTTTGGGGTACCCCATTTTTGGACAAAGCCATATCAAGAGCACGGCGAAACAGCGCAGCTCGGCATGGGACGTCCAGCCACCAAGGAGGGAGGCAACTGTGGCAGAGCGCGGCGCAAGATGAACAGCAGGGCAGAACACATCTCCTGGGAACACGGACTGGTCATCGGTCAGCAATTAGTTCATACTGCCATGGGAGAAGGCTTGAGGTATCCAAAGCTAGCGTGCAAGTCGAAAGCAAAGGCAAAGTTCAATTCCTGCTCAGGGTTCCATTGCCACGACTTCCCGAAACAGCTTGTGCTGTGGTTCCATTTGTGACATGCATATTCAGAAACAAATAGCTCTACTGGTACCTGACAGCATCATTAAACTATATCCCCATTGTATCATCATATCATATTGTTACCAATATATCACCACTATGATTGCGATATCATGTGTATCCATTGCTATCTCCATCGCAACTCGGCTCCTCCTGGTTCTCCAAGGCACCTTTCTGCCCCAACTGCTTGGGCAGTGTGGAAACCTCGGGTTGGGGCTTCAAATAGAGCAGCCGCATCCCTTTCTTCGTTTTGGTTCTGGGAGTATCCCAACTATGGCCAATAAACAATAATATATATATCTATATATATAGTATCCCAATAAATTAAATAATAAAAGTAATCAAAGTATCCAAACAAGAATCTAACATGACTATCACCTAATCACTGATTGGTTCTTAGTATTACTAGATATTACTAGCCAATCAGTATAGTTTTTTTCTAATCATGGTTTTCATAATCCCCAATAAACTACACTTCTTCATGATAAATATTAGTAATTTCATAGTATCGTCATCAATTAATAATGGCTAATAAATAGTATCTATGGCTAATAAATGCCAATAATAATTCCTTATTAAACAGCTCCGGCTCCACCGTTGGGGTCCCAAACCACCGCAGCAAAGTAGGCGGCTCCCGTGGTAGCGCATTTGTTGCTGCAAATCACCGAGCGCATCGCCTGCCATGATTTATGTTTCTTATAATATTATATATCATCATCTCATTCCATAATTTATGTTTGTTATTTGTTATATTCTCTTTCAAGAAAAAGAAAACACATCGATCTGCTTCCTTGCAGATTGAATGATACATCTGTCGGCAGTGGCAAAGCGTCACCTGAAGGCATCTCGACGCACTTTGACAGGCAGCATCCTGAAGCCACCGCATCAGCAGAAGAGCACAACAAGATCAGGTTGCTGTGTTTCTGTAGCAAGCATGCGGTGCGGGTGAAAACGGACTTCAGCCTTACAGTGTCATGATTTTCTATATGTTTCTTGTGGCCTTACAGTGTCATGATTTTCTATGTGCTTCTTGTGGCCAATGCTTCAGGGGCTTTCTTACTCACTAGGTCTCGAATCACTGTCACAATACTTCCAATCAAGGGCCGTGGAACATGAATTTGCGATATTCTCTCCAGAAGAACTTGAAATCTGTTTGAGCTCCGAACGCCGCGCGCTGCTCGCACGTCGATCTCCCTCGGCCAAATTTCAAGCATATCAACTTTTAAGTCCAGTCCCAAAGCCAAAGCACCGAAGCAAATACATAGCCCAAATGTCAACCTGGTTTATCACTGTATCACTCTGAATTGCAAAAGAAATTGCTGAAGTGGCTTCATCATCATGTCTGGTAATTGTCAGAAATGGCATTGAGAACTGCCAACTGCATTACCTCCTCAACAAAATCAGCTTCGGCTGGTGCAGTCACGTGCTGCCACCTTACACAAACAGCTCCGTGCTGTCACCTTACCAAACCAGCTTCATGCTGGTTGCAGCTTCGTGCTGCCGGTGGTGTGTCGATTTGGCGGCGCCTACCACCTCTTCAAAGGATGGCTGGTGAATTTGGTCAATGCCGTGGCTCCCGGCTTCACGAAAGGTGGATCGGATTCCATTGCGTCACGGGTGCATGGTGCGAATGATGGGCGAATGGTGCCAATGAGTGGAGTTTGGGTCTCGAAGAGTCACAGTGTCTCTGATTCTACATCTGCAGAAGTTGTTGGGGAATAAGCTCGTGTAGCCACGGCCACAACTAGTGTGTGGCTTTATGCCGAAATGTCTGTCGAGTTATCTGCTTTTTTGAATTCAAGCAATGATCACAACAAGTTGCCAAAGCAAGCTGAATGGCTAAGTTCTGATTACTTTTTCGAAAGCATCTGAGAAGCCAAAGCTCAAGAGAAGCACAACACTCGGCAAATTGCGAAGGCCCAAAGCCCTTTCTGAAAGAGTGCTCGTCTCAAAGAAGGCTCATCGTTTTGCTTAATCTGTATTGATTTCTGCTCTGACAATGTCTTATACTTGCTGATACTTTCTGGGGGACCAGAATTCATATTACTGAATTGAAGCCTTTGCCCCACCGTCACCTCATCTCATATAGACATTCTGGCCCATGCCCAGATTGTGGGTCTGTTCATCAAGCAACACTTCACATCGGGCAAGCGCTCAAACTCGGCCTCTCGGCTTTTCCCTTCTCCTATGTCGGCAGAGGTGATTCAGAGACAAGCGGTGCTAATGCCAGGCATCTCTGACTGACTTTTGCACCCAAACAATGAGCTCGGCCTTGGGTTTCTTCTCCTCCTGAACGGCTGAATCGTTCAATGATATATCAGATGAATTGGATCTGAGTTGAAAAGCACAAGTTAATCAAGTTAGAAGAATCACAGCCACCATGGCATCTTGTCAAATGCTTCACATCTGCAGCAAATTGTGTCCTTTGGAGCTTCAGGACCCAACTTCTGAGCTTTGCAGTACTCCGCCTCTTTGGTGCAATAGTCCTCGTCACTAAAACTTCTGCCCAAGTGGGATCCAGCTGGCACCATATGAATCATGAAAAAACATCACAGTTCGATACAATTCCCACATCTACGCGAAGTGTCAAAGCCATCTTTCACCAAACAGATCGAACAAATTACCTCTCCGCCAAGGCTCTCGTGCATCCAGCGAGTCACCGTCCTAGCGTCAGCTCAGAGGTGACAAAAAAGTAATCAATTATCAATGGCACATTTTTTCACAACATATTGGTCATTGATATCCATTAAAAATTGTCATTCGCCAATCACGGAATGCCAAGACTATCCTCACGCACCGAAAACACTCAGGAAACCCTGCCATGCCTTCAACTTTCCATATAGGAAGCTGTAGAAGTCATCTTCGCCAACCTGGTTTAGTATTGAAATGTATTGGATATCAATTTTGGGGGTCCCAAAAAGGATGGTATTCAATGTTAGGGGAATGGGACGGATTCCTTGGAGCCATCCCTGCCTGCTCGAAGATCAGCTTCCGGCATTCCTCTGCCAAACGCTTCTTCCTGGCCGCTCTCCGCATGCAAGGTTGGTGTCCTTCAAAGCCGGTCCTAGGCCTTTTTGTTGGCAGTCAAACATGCCGATGGCTAAAGGTAACAACAGCTGTCAACTCATGAAGCAGAAGAGTTCCATGAGACTTTAGTTGCTCTAGCTATCAAAAACGCAAAGTGTGTGCTAGTGATCAATCATTTGTTCTAATTTGGGTGTGCGTACCTGGTCCAGTACTTTCCTTGTGCCCATTGCACCTCAATTCCCATGAGACCCACTCGGCCCTTGGCAGCCGCACCAGTTTTCACCACCCATCTGGATGGCTCCCATGCCCGGCCTCAGCAAAGGACTGATACAAATGAGCCGATATGCGCACCCCCAAAAAGAGAATCAGACTGAAGCACCAGGCAGCCCCAGGGTGCCCCCCTGCCATCTCTAAGTCCACGGCTGAAGCTCCACATTGTCTTTGAGCCCCGGCCTGGTGTGTCTTTGACATCATCGCTGAGGTCACTGAGGTCACTTTGCAAATGGATCTGCCACATCCACATCCACCAACAGCATCAACGTTGCGTGCCAAACTTTGCCAGCTGGACCCACTAAGGACATTTTCGCCATTCACCAGTTTGATACCATAGCCCTGCCAAAGGCATTCACTCAATGCCGGAAGGGCAAGGGAAGTGGATAGAGTCTAAAAGAGAAAGCTATGTCAAACATTCCAATTAAAGCTACGGATTTTTTCTTGCACCGGTGTGGCAGCATGAGATGGGTGTGGATCAAAAACCCGGGTACCGAACAAAAATCGGAGACTTGGATATCAGCAATTGTGAAATTATCAAAATAAAACTGTGGTTCCCTTGGGCTTCAATTTTGAATTTTGACCCAGGACATCAGGCCTCGAAGGCAGAGCGGCAGGTCTCCTCAAAGAGGTCGGTGTACTCCCAGGACTTGAGCCTGGAAAAATGTCAAAATTCGGCTGGAATGGGATGAAACCAAACGAACCACATGGCTCTGGGTCAAAAAAATATTGGGGACCCCAAAATGCTATGGATTACTAGGGATTACTGAAAAATACGGAAGGCGGACCGAACATCTGTGGTTTTGCGGGTCTGGATTTTTGTTGACTCATCCCATATCTTGTGGGGGAAGAAGAAGTGGAACAGCCGACCCCACTTGCCCGAAGATCGCTCCAACATTCCGACAAGGCACCTGCGACTCTTCGGCTGCTGCTTGTGGAGAGCCTCCAGCCCAGCAGCACTATATAAATAGGAGTTGGAATATGTTGGAATATTCTATCAAGCGTATCAAATCAATCGATCTTTGGGACAAGCTTCCGTCTCCTGCCTCGTTCAGGTGATGCACAATTGCTCGGCAAGAGTCGCACTTGTAGCGGTCTGGCATGTTGTACCCGTACTGGTCCTGAGCTGAGGCAATGACTGAGGCATGGCCATGCATGGCCCTGAACCACCAAAAGAATCCAAAAACACCAGCTTCGTTCCCGCAAAATGGGCCTCTTCTGTCATGGCAGGAGCTTCAATCTTCAAGGTCTCGCGGCGTATCAAGGGTCAGATTTGTGATATGCCTCCTGGAAACTGGACTAGAAACTGGATAAGATGGGCAAGCGTCATCCGCTGTCCATCATCAAATCATATCAAATCTATTCAAATCCTCCAGATTTCTGCTGTTTCGGTTTTGAGTAGTGTTGGAATCAGCCCTGGTGAGCCTGGACCTTCTTCCCCTCCTCATTGACGCTCTCCTCCCAACCTAGGACTTCTGAGGCAGATAGGAAATGATAGGAATCCATGCCATGGAACTATGGAACATTACTGGAACATTCCAAATTAGTTTGACAAGTCAAACTGCAGTCGATGCTCCAGGCAGGCCGCCCAGCCTCCTTTGTCATCCTTGGCCAGGACTAGGAGCCAAACCTTTGAAGTGCTTGGTGCAGTTCGGTCGAATGATTGCTGCGAGGACTGCTACCCAAAAGGGGGAAAAAGAGCAGCATGCAGCAGTCAAGCTTCCAGGAACGGACCTAAACATGGGCAAGGCATTTTCAGGAAAGCTTACAGTAGTCCACTTGTTTGTCTACGATGAGCAACAACCCTCTCTTGCTTCAGTTGCAAGGGACCTGGAGGAGATACACGACAAAAAACATGGCGTCGAAAATAGCTGGGGATTTCGAGGCAGCGTGTTTTCTAATTGCTTTCGGTGGGCCTGGAGGGTTCAGTCATGTAGCATCTCATTTCCGTGGTCGTTTCTGCAAGTTGATTCTCTATGATTCTGAGGAGGCCAATGCTTGCGAAGTTTGGTCAAAGGTGATCTAAGTGATGCTCCATCACAATGAAGAGAGGCTCTTTTGGGCATCTCCCCTTGAACCAAACAGCAAAGCTTTAAGCCGCCGGAGGGTAGCTGATGTTGGAATGGACATGCACTTAGTAGATCTAGTAGATCGAACTCCCAAGCCATGCAAACAAGAGAATCAAACTGAATTGTCAGGGTGCATGTTCTCAAATTCAAAGATGCGTAGGAGACTCCCGTCTGTATTTTTGCTGACATTGGATTATCGGCGGCTCCAAACACTGGGTTTTGAGTGAAGCAAAGTCACATCTAAATCATAAGACTCTCATGCGCCCCAAAAGCATTGCTGCTAGTGGTGAGCTCCTTTGGCAGACACCAATCCTGAACTTCAGTGAATGGACTTGAAACTATACCAGTACCTTGGTTGTGTCGCAATACGAAGCATCGGAGAGAAGACCATTCCCAGATCTGTGCATCAATTTTGAACCGATGATGCCGATGCTCTGTCTTTCGCAGCACTTTCATGCAAGTGCACAGAATCGACAGAATGTTCATCCGATGTTGCTACATCTACCTCCTTCAGTGGGCACTGCTTCAGGCACGAAGCCATAATCCTGCACTCATGGAATTCCAAGAAACGTCCACCTCTCAAGTTGAATACACTTCAAAATCTTCAAATGAACTTGCCGGCCATGTTGTTCTACTTACTTTGTCCTCTTGTCCTAATGTCATCATTAACACCAAAGAAATTCTTTGAAATATCAATGCCGTCAACGCCCCAATTCGAAAGTCTCCGAAAGTCCTGAATTTGAAAATATAAGACTACGATGCCCGCCACGGTCGCCAGGACCGCAAGAACCGATGCCACCTGGCCAGGGAACGCACCGTTTTCTTGAGTTTGCTTGATTTTCCGCTACACATTCCAGGTACTAACTTAAGAATACTTAAGAGGTTACTTTCTGAATGCACCGCAAATGTGTCGCTTCATTCTGTTCTAGATGCTTATCCTTTCACTCTTGCGAAGGTTGTTTCTCACAACTCAAGGTCTTCAAATGTGGCCACACAAAAAGCTTGGCCATACTTTTGAGATATCTCGAGAGTTCAGAACGGTTCAGTTTGGGCATGGGAATCTCGCCTCCACAAGGCTGCTCTGCTTCTTGGAGTCATTGGTCGCAAGGCGGAAAAGTTGATAGCCCACCAGGCCCAAAACGGCCAAGTAGCTGAGACCCTCGGTGGCACCCAGCAGACCAAAGGGTCCGGCAGGTAGACCGCAACCTGCAGCTCCAACGGACGGATCAAAGCATTGGAAGAAACCAGAAATGGGGCCTACCGCCCAGAAAACAGCATTGGCAAAGGGATGCAGCGGCTTCCCCGTTGTTGCATTATTATTATTATTATTACTATTATTATTATTATTTGCATGCAAATTGAAATATGTGAACCCGATTGAACACGTATTTTTGAAACGCAGCTTTGTCGGAACCATCTCTGCCTGTGGTTTTCAGCGTCCATTCACTCCATCCCATCACCAGGGATGCTCCAATCCCAACTGCGCCAAGGGCGCCATCGCCATCTCTCTTCAGCTCGGCAGATCGCGCAACCCGTGCAGCTCGTGGCGGCGAACGAGTGCGTGGCCCAACAAAGGCAGGTGCCAAGAGCACGAGCAGCAGCGAAAGCCCACGGTGACGGGCCATGATTCCACTTGAGATATGCTGTGTCACTATGTCTTGGAAGATTCCGTGAAACTGTCGAACATGATCTGAGTCTTGCCAGGTCAAATTTCCATAGCTTCCCCATATCGAAATTGCAGTATTTCAATGCTTGGGGCGGCTTGTGCTCCAATTTTGGGTCACCCTTACTTGAGCAAAAAGAGGAAAGAGGGGAGACGTGCGGCAATCCATCTTAGCGAGTCGCTATCACTGAATCACAAAGGATGGTGCAACAACAAAGCCAAAGCAAACCCATGCCAAACCGCAGGCTCAACACAGAAAGGCTCCTTAGAAGACCCACAGCAGGGGATCTTTAATGATCTTTAGGGATGTTCGATTGAATAAAGTGGTTCATTGTTCAAGTGTGAAAGCAACGCCTTCGAGCTGCATAGGCATGTGTGAAGCTTTGCATCTCCAGTCTCTGTATCAATGGATATGCAAAAGAGTCCCCACCACTGCACCCACTCTTACAAGCAAATTACAGCTTCACTGCAGACAAAATGAGGCTGATAAAAGAACCGAAGTATGAATTAAGAGCCAGATTGCAGAAGTATAATATATATATATAGATATCCTGGAAAATTATGCGTTTCAAAGGATAGTGGTGTGTAAGAAGATGGCACTAGAAGGAATGAAGCGAAGCATCATGACAGGCACTCTCTGCAACACAATCGAACAGTGGGACAGTGACATGCAGCCCCGGCAGCCCCGAATCTTGCAAAATAAACCACTTGGCCAGGATAGGATAAACCTACTGATTGGAGCAGCTGTGGGATGTGCCATCCATATGATATGCTCCATCCTCTCCAAAGTCTCCAGTTTTCCAGCTGTTCTGTGCGTCAAGGCAAGCTCATCTCAGGCACGTCCTAAGCAAATGATGGACATCTGCGTATCGTTGCCCTTGATGCCTTGATGTGTTCTATCACCTATGGTGACCTGTGGTGACACCCGAGAGTTCACCATCACTTCCCTGCCTCATCTCCAATGTAAAACTGCTGCGCGGTGCCTTGCTGCGCATTGCCTTCGAAGACTTCGGCCTGGGGCGGCTGGCGGCTACAAAGAGTGGCTTAGATAATTTAGGTAGAGGATTTTTCTGAGGGATTTGGTGTGTCCCAAGACCCATGGTTCATGAAGTCAGATTGACAAACAAATTTATATCCGCCGACCCCAGCCATCTGCAGGGGGAGCGCGCCCGAGGAAAAGTGGCGTTAAGCACGAAGCAACGTTAGGCAGCCGCTTGGCTTGACACTGGCCCAGAACTTTTCTAGTGGCTTCAGAAAGCGACGTTAGGCAGTAGCCTGCCTTCAAACGCTCCGCAGCGCCCTTGCCGGCGCTTTTGGCAGCTTTCCGGACGACTTTGGCCATCTGTCGGGGGCTTGTCCAGTAGTTTTCTAGTGGCTTCAGAAAGCGACGTTAGGCAGTAGCCTGGCTTCAAACCCTCCGCAGCGCCTTTGGGGGCTTGTCCACTAGTTTTCTAGTGGCTTCAGAAAGCGACGTTAGGCAGTAGCCTGCCTTCAAATTTTGGCAGCTTTCTGGACGACTTTGGCCATCTGTCGGGGGCTTGTCCAGTAGTGTTCTGGTGGCTTCAGAAAGCGACGTTAGGCAGTAGCCTGGCTTCAAACCCTCCGCAGCGCTTTTGGCAGCTTTCCGCACGACTTTGGCCATCTGTCGGGGGCTTGTCCAGTAGTTTTCTAATGGCTTCAGAAAGCGACGTTAGGCAGTAGCCTGCCTTCAAACGCTCCGCAGCGCCCTTGCCGGCGCTTTTGGCAACTTTCCGGACGTCTGTGGCCATCTGTCGGAGGCTTGTCCTGTAGTTTTCTAGTGGCTTCAGAAAGCGACGTTAAGCAGTAGCCTGGCTTCAAACCCTCCGCAGCGCCTTTGGGGGCTTGTCCACTAGTTTTCTAGTGGCTTCAGAAAGCGACGTTAGGCAGTAGCCTGCCTTCAAACGCTCCGCAGCGCCCTTGCCGGCGCTTTTGGCAACTTTCCGGACGTCTGTGGCCATCTGTGGGAGGCTTGTCCAGTAGTTTTCTAGTGGCTTCAGAAAGCGACGTTAGGCAGTAGCCTGGCTTCAAAGCTTGTCCACTAGTTTTCTAGTGGTTTCAGAAAGCGACGTTAGGCAGTAGCCTGCCTTCAAACGCTCCGCAGCGCCCTTGCCGGCGCTTTTGGCAACTTTCCGGACGTCTGTGGCCATCTGTCGGGGGCTTGTCCAGTAGTTTTCTAGTGGCTTCAGAAAGCGACGTTAGGCAGTAGCCTGGCTTCAAACCCTCCGCAGCGCCTTTGGGGGCTTGTCCACTAGTTTTCTAGTGGCTTCAGAAAGCGACGTTCGGCAGTAGCCTGCCTTGAAACCCTCCGCAGCGCCTTTGGGGGCTTGTCCAAATGTTTTCTAGTGGCTTCAGAATGGCGATGTGTCGGGGGCTTGTCCAGTAGTTTTCTAGTGGCTTCAGAAAGCGACGTTAGGCAGTAGCCTGGCTTCAAACCCTCCGCAGCGCCTTTGGGGGCTTGTCCAAATGTTTTCTAGTGGCTTCAGAATGGCAATCTGTCGGAGGCTTGTCCTGTAGTTTTCTAGTGGCTTCAGAAAGCGACGTTAAGCAGTAGCCTGGCTTCAAACCCTCTGCAGCGCCTTTGGGGGCTTGTCCACTAGTTTTCTATAGTGGCTTCAGAAAGCGACGTTAGGCAGTAGCCTGCCTTCAAACCCTCCGCAGCGCCTTTGGGGTGGCCTGGCTTCAAACCCTCGGCAGCGCCTTTGGGGGCTTGTCCACTAGTTTTCTAGTGGCTTCAGAAAGCGACGTTAGGCAGTAGCCTGGCTTCAAACCCTCCGCAGCGCCCTTGCCGGCGCTTTTGGCAACTTTCCGGACGTCTGTGGCCATCTGTCGGGGGCTTGTCCAATACTTTTCTAGTGGCTTCAGAAAGCGACGTTAGGCAGTAGCCTGGCTTCAAACCCTCCGCAGCGCCTTTGGGGCTTTGTCCACTAGTTTTCTAGTGGCTTCAGAAAGCGACGTTAGGCAGTAGCCTGCCTTCAAACCCTCCGCAGCCCCCAAACTAGTTTTCTAGTGGCTTCAGAAAGCGACGTTAGGCAGTAGCCTGGCTTCAAACCCTCCGCAGCGCCTTTGGGGGCTTGTCCACTAGTTTTCTAGTGGCTTCAGAAAGCGACGTTAGGCAGTAGCCTGGCTTCAAACCCTCCGCAGCGCCTTTGGGGGCTTGTCCACTAGTTTTCTAGTGGCTTCAGAAAGCGACGTTAGGCAGTATAGCCTGGCTTCAAACCCTCCGCAGCGCCTTTGGGGGCTTGTCCACTAGTTTTCTAGTGGCTTCAGAAAGCGACGTTCGGCAGTAGCCTGCCTTGAAACCCTCCGCAGCGCCCTTGCCGGCGCTTTTGGCAGCTTTCCGGACGACTTTGGCCATCTGTCAGAAACTTGTCCAGTATTTTTCTGGTGGCTTCAGAAAGCGACGTTAGGCAGTAGCCTACCTTCAAACGCTCCGCAGCGCCCTTGCCGGCGCTTTTGGCAGCTTTCCGGACGACTTTGGCCATCTAGTTTTCTAGTGGCTTCAGAAAGCGACGTTAGGCTACTGCCTGCCTTCAAACGCTCCGCAGCGCCCTTGCCGGCCGTCTTGGCAGCTTTCTGGACGACTTTGGCCATCTGTCGGGGGCTTGTCCGGTTTTCTGGGGCTTTCCTTCTGCGCGTAGGCCCTCGCTGCATCTCGCTGCTCAGCCTCATCCTGGTGTTTTTTTTCCGGGGTCGGCGGCAGGGGCGGGAGCCCTTAAATCAAATGTTGTTTGTTCCTGGCCACTTTTTAAAAAAACACTTAGGCAAATCCGTGGCGTCCATTGGTGCAATCATAGAATCGATTTGTGGTGGGCTTAGTTGCATCTTTGTTTGTCTTTGTTCTTCGTCCGACAAGATCACACAACTCACACAACGTATCAAAATCCCCAAGAAGTGTGGTACAGGAAAGGCTTAAAGGGGGAGGGACTCTGTGGCCCAAAATTCATCACGCCTCGTCGCCAATGTAGAAATGCTGGTGGGCGCTCACTCGCCTCGTTGGCCTTTTCGGCCCCTGGCATCCAGCCACGCAGCCACACCATCCATGATCACCGATGAATCAAAAGATCTGGGCAGAAGGGAAGCCCATCCAATCACTGCCCACCTTGAAGCAGTCCAGCAGCTTCTGCACCTGCGGCCTTGGCCAGAAGTTCTTAGCCATGACAACTAGACAAATCATGCCATCTCGAAATTCTGTGCAAGAAACTCATCAACGGAGTGGGAAATGATGCCTCTACTATCTTGTCCATTGTTTGTGATTTGTGTATCTGTTGCTTGACTTTTCGACTTATGCAAAGGTAATCCTTTCATGGTGATCACAAGCGGTGCAAAGCTTCGCAAGCTCCATGGTTCAATGGTCAAAAGTCCAAACCAATCATTGACCCATGCCGAGCTACTCCATCTCCGCACCACGGCAGAGATCCTCGTCCAGGGCAAGCCAGAAGCTGTCGAACCTTGGTGCGGGAAACCAATCTGAAACCAATGTGCAGCTCGCTGTGCAGCTCTCATAGCTAATTCCTCACAGTTTGACCACACACTCAGCAAGCCAAGCCAAGCCAAGATGCTGCTCCTCCTGACAAGGAGTCTGAAGAGTGTGTGTTCAGTAGAAGCTTTCAGAATGAATCTAATGATCACAGGAGCTCCAATGTCGCAATGATAACTGTTTCTCAGATCGGATCGTGTGATTTGGATCGTGTGACTTTCGGAGTTCACCATGATCACCATGAAGTCCTCGGCATCATCAAATGCCTCGCCAATGAAAAAGTGTGCGCTGGCTTCCTGAAGCGCGGACGAGGCTCAAACGGGGAAGGATTTCCCACAAGGCACTTCTCCGCAAAGGGTGAGCGAAACTGATTTCAAAATGAGGCCAAGCCATTCGGATGTGTACCATCAAAATTATCCAAATTGCAATTTCAAGAATAAACAACTAGAATTCGGGATTCCAGATATTCCAGATTTAGATACAACCCCCCATCAAAACAACCTCGCAGTGTCATCTGCGCAAGGACGCCTTCTCATCACGAGATGAAGTTTTTCCTTTGGGCATGCACAAAGAGACCTCAACAGACATCTCCGCGCTTGGTAAAAACCAAGCCTGGTCTGCTGAGAGTCTACTGTAGTACATAGACATTGTATACATTTTGGAAGTACTATGGAAGTACTTGTATCGAGTTTCATGTAGGAAATCAAATTGCTGTAGCTCATGGCCTCCTGTTTCACACAAAAAACATCCTTCCACATGTTTAGTTGATTTTGCTAGCGCCAGGCACATTGCTGTGATGTGTTCTCGTCATAGCTGGCATAGCTCTCAGCTGGGTGTTGGGCAAACTTGCGAGCTTGCTCTTCCAGGGTGGCACCCTGGTCTTCCAATTCCTTCACAGCTCAAAGTTCTTGCAAATCAAGTAGCTGAGTAAATATGAGTAAATGATGTATAATATATAATGTATAGCTGAATGAACTTTGATTTACTAATCCGATTTATCATCTCTCAGCCGAATGAGACATCCCCAACCTCCATCTGGGCCCAAAGATCAGCAGTGTCGTCACCTAGGACGCGGCACTTTTTTCGAACCCATACCTTGTCTGCAAAAAGAAAAGGTCAACATAGGTCAGCGTGCAAATGAAAGAGACATTGACATACGTTTGCAGCTTTGACTGGTCAAATATGCTTAAATGACTTCCCTGGGGGTCAACCGTTGCAGCGGCTTGCGAACTTTTGAATCCTCGAGATGCCAAGCCTCCCTTCCAATATAAAAGGTCGCACGGCACCAACGCGGTGAAACGGCCTGTCCCTTCTGGGAAGGCTTACAACTTGATCATGCCAAGTCTAGTTCACATGGTGACAGTGACAAAGATGACATTTACTGGCTACCAATCATGGTTACTTGCTATACATGCATGATACATATAAAACTACATGTGTATGTATATAAATATATATATATTATGTATCAACCTGTGGATGCTGGGGGGTGCCTCCAAGTATTCAAAAGCCCACGGTGTAGCCATATCCTGCCCGTGAAATCTGACTGAGCTGGTCAACTGATCTACAGTATCTCTTTGAGCGGTAGCATGTCTACTCTGCAAGCAAACTCTGTCACTTTGTGGTCACAACACGCTTCTCTTGAACACGAAATCCACGAACTCATCGTAGTCCTAAGGCTTCCAAACAAGCACCCTATCCATTGATTTGGTAAACCCATCATTGCATTCTTTCATCCCTCGAATGAAGAGGTTTGTCAACTCTGACATGGCATTTGCAGAAGGCTGGAAAACAAACAAATCTGACAAAGACTGCAAGGTCCACACATGTGCACACTTACGCACAAAATGCAAGATTAAAATGCAGGATTCTAAAATCCTGCTGGGTTTTCAGACCGACTTTACACAAGTTCAAGAATACTCAAAGAATACTCAAGCTCCAAAATCAGAGCGAAGCGAAACACTAAGAGAAACCAGGAAACCATATCTCCATCATCATCAGTGTCGAGCACATCCACCAGGGTCTTAACCTCTGAAGGTCTCATGCCACAAGAGCCCATCATCTGTTGAAGCTCCTGACATAAACTCAACGGGGATAACAGGGATTGGATATCATTGAACCATTGAACTGCGTGCTTGGAGAACTTGGAGAACGCTTCAAAAAGAAAAATCGGCCTTCAGTTCAATGATTTGCTGTCTTTCATTCGCATTTCAAAACAAAACATGCACAAGGCATCGCTTGAGTAATTCTCTTCACAGGTTTGCTTGGTGATTTGTCTTCAGCAGTTTCCCAATTCACACACTCACACCTCAGACCTGCACAGGGCTAAGGAAATCTGCAACCCGAATCATGTTCATGCATCAGTTCTGTTCTCCTGCTTGCTCACAACCCCATTCCCATCTTTGTCCCAAAGCCGAAAGGTCGCTCTAACCAAATCCGCATCTGTCATGAGGGACTTTTCCAAAGCTCCTCATCAATGTGCTGACGCAGGTCTGGTTTGTTTTTACATGATGTAAAAGGCAGCGTTGTCTTGTTGCAGTGTACTCTATCATGCAGCAGAAGCACGAGAAACCAGAATGAACAAAAGTGCCACATGGTTTTAGGCAAGGACGATGCAATAAGATTCATGGAACATAATACTTCTTGAAACCCCAGTGAAGTGCGTCCTGGGTCATTCCTGTCCAACCACTCAACAAACTCGTCGTAGGACACGCCGTCATTCTCATCTGCATCTGCTCGCTCCATCATTTCACGGCAATTCTCTGCTGACCTTGCAATAAATTGGGTAACTCTCGTGTCAGAAGCAGTTCTCCATCTCATCAGTGCTTGCCTTTTCGCCTTTTCTACGGGAACACTGTTCAATTTTACAGAAAAAAACAAAAAAAAACATGCCAAATGTCATGCATACATATATCATATATCATATATATATATATATACAATGTGTATATATATATACAATGTGTATATATATATATAAATATACTGTATACATCAATCGGTTTCAATATCCAAGCCAAGAGGCCATGTATACAAAAGCCGTCGCATCAATGTGCCAAGCTCGGCTCGACCTTGGCAGCTCCGAACTTGCGGTGGTTACCATGCTGACCTGGTGGACTGGGCATGTCAAGCATTGGTTAAATTTGGTTGAGGTGAATATATAAATTTGAAAAGATATATACTTATGCATATATATATATATATAAATAGTCTAGTATATCCGTAAATATATATATATAATAAATTTATAAAATACAGCGTTTATAATCAAAGGAAACTTCGTACAGAAACTCCGAGTTACGGATGGTTTTATTCTCAGTAGCCCAAACATCATTGTGTCCAGTTGGCATGCCCCTTAAAAGATCATGGAGTCACATTCTCACTAGCCCAAAGAACATTGTGGTCAAGTGGCATGTGCCTTAAGAGATCATGAAGTCACATTCTCACTAGCCCAAAGATCATTGTGTTCAGTTGGCATGTGCCTTGCGAGATCATGAGGTCACATTCTCACTAGCCCAAAGATCAGTGTACTCAGTTGGCATGTGCCTTAAGAGATCATGAAGTCACATTCTCACCAGCCCAAAGATCATTGTGTTCAGTTGGTTTGTGCCTGACGAGATCCTGAAACCACATTCTCACTAGCCCAAACATCATTGTGCCCAGTTGGCATGCGCCTTGCGAGATCATGAGGTCACATTCTCACTAGCCCAAAGATCATTATGTCCAGTTGGCATGTGCCTTGCGAGATCATGAAGTCACATTCTCACCAGCCCAAAGATCATTGTGTTCAGTTGGCATGTGCCTTGCGAGATCATGAAGTCACATTCTCACTAGCCCAAAGATCATTGTGTCCAGTTGGCATGTGGGTTAAGAGATCATGAAGTCACATTCTCACCATTGTGTCCAGTTGGCACCTGCGGTAAGAAATCATGAAGTCAAATCCTCATTAGCTCAAAGATCACTGTGTCCAGCTGGCCCCTGCGTGAAGTAGAGTAGAGGTATCGCAGAGATAGAGTAGAGGTAGAGGTAGAGGTAGAAGTAGAGGTAGAGGCAGAGGTAGAGGTAGAAGTAGAGGTGGAGGTGGAGGTGGAGGTGAAAGTGGAGGTGGAGGTGGAGTAGAGTGGGGGTGGAGTAGGGTGGAGTAGGGTGGAGTAGGGTGGAGTAGGGTGGAGTAGGGTGGAGTAGGGTGGAGTAGGGTGGAGTAGGGTGGAGTAGGGTGGAGTAGGGAGTAGGGTGGAGGTAGAGGTAGAGGTAGAGGTAGAGGTAGAGGTAGGGGTAGGGGTAGAGGTAGAGGTAGAGGTAGAGGTAGGGGTAGGGGTAGGGGTAGGGGCAGAGGTAGAGGTAGAGGTAGAGCAGAGCAGAGCAGAGTCCAGGAGAGTAAGGCAGGGAAGAGTAGAGCAGCGAAGTTGCGATTCTGATTGTGTTTTGCAAGTCTTTGTTGGCAGATTGCATTGGAACTGCTACATCAAGGATGCGATTTGAATGTTAGGATTTGCACGAAACATTGTGTTTTTTTCCGGTAAACGGAGGCTCTATTGCGGAGACAAGTTGGCTCGCGTGCGCAACGGGTTCGGGCGTCGCCGCTTTAGCGTGGAATCATGCTCGATCTGCGCGCGCGCTGTCTCCAAGTGGCTTTTTCTGTTCTTTGTTGATGCTGTGCTAGTGTCTTTTGCAGCTGAGATTCGTAAATCGTACTGTAGTGGCTGCATCAAGGTTGCCACTGGTGCTTTAGCAGCAATTTTTTCCATTTTGGCGCTGATGATTTTCCTTTAAAATTTCCTTTTAAAAAGTGCTTCAACATCGTGATTTTTCCGCTTGGGCGTCGATCCGGTTTTGGAGCTGCAATTTGTGTAGCCGTTGTGCATGCTGTGTGTAAAAGCTTGCTCTGTGTAAAAGCTTGCTGTGCGTAAAAGCTTGCTCCGTGTAAAAGTTTGCTGCGTGTAAAAGCTTCTCCGTGTAAAAGTTTGCTGCGGGTAAAAGCTTCTCCGTGTAAAAGTTTGCTGCGTGTAAAAGCTTCTCTGTGTAAAAGCTTCCTGTGTGTAAAAGCTTGCTGTGCGTAAAAGCTTCTCCGTGTAAAAGTTTGCTGCGTGTAAAAGCTTCTCTGTGTAAAAGCTTCCTGTGTGTAAAAGCTTCTCTGTGTAAAAGCTTCTGTGTCTGTGTGTAAAAGTTTCCCTGTGTAAAAGCATCTCTGTAAAAAGAGGTGAGAAGAGGTCAGAAGAGTTGGCAAGAGTTGAGAAGAGTTGACAAGAGGTGACAAGAGTTGAGATGAGCTGAGAAAGAGGTGAGATCAGTTGAGCGGAGGTGAGACGCGGTGGGAAGAGTTGAGGAGAGGTGGCACGGGGTGAGAAGAGTTGAGATGAGTTGAGAAGGGCTGAGAAGAGGTGGGCAGAGGCGAGAGTCGTTGAGAAGAGTTGGGGAAGAGGCCGGGAAGAGGTGAAAAGAGTTGAGAGGTGGGAAGAGATGAAAAACTTTGAGAGCTGTTGAAAAGAGTTGTGAAAAATTGAGAAGAGCTGAGATGGTCTGAGAAGAGCTGCGAAGAGCTGAGAAGTGGTGGTCACAGTTGAAAAGGGGTGAGGCAAGATGAGGACGAATTCACAGAACAGAGTTGAGAAAATGTGAGGCTTCACTCCAGTTCCTATAGGCAAACCTTGTCTTTGGACCCTATAGCGTCACAGTCCTTAAACCTGGAAACTTCCGCCACCCGCCTTGCGCGGGTTCTACTTATATATTGTATGCATATAATGTACATTTGAAAACAGTCTCATTCTCATCATGACTGACTCATCATGGGTACATTTGACGCTGACGCGGAGAAGAGGTGCAGCCATTTTACGAGATATCCCCACAAGCCCTTGAAGTTACCCAACATGTCGAACTCCCAGAAAGATGTTGCACTGCGGAACTACCTGCAGACAACCACCTGGAACCACCGGCAACCATCGTGTGAAAAGGTACTGAGACGGCCATTGCCATTGGAATCGGCTGCAGAGAAGGTTGCTTTCAAGAAAGACTTCCGAACATCCTGGGGGCGTCGAGGGTGAACGTATCAACTTGGACATGGTCTGCTTGTGTAGTAACAACCCAGGGTGACAGTCACGATAGTCAAGGAGACCATATACAAGGTATGCAAGTAGGACTGATCTGTCAACTAGCATCTCTTGCTTTGCATGCTGCATGCTACAGTAGTTCTTTGCATGCTACTTGCTTATAGCTGGACAAATCATTTTTCTTTCAAATCAGTCTTTGAAATCAAACCCACATTGAAACCGTTGACGCTGTCCTGGCCAATGGTCGGCATGTTGGCCGCTAAGGCTGAAAGCAGACCACCACCCGCAATCGGAGTCTCCACCTGAGCAGGAAATGCACCGTGCACGGAGATCACATGGCACGTTTGCACAGGCCAACTTGGGTAATCCGCACCTTGCGGACAGCCTCCGGTGCCATGTTCAACAACATGATGTTGGCATGTGACCTGCCGCTGTGCAATATGCAGTGTGGACCGTGAAATGCAGCAATTTGTCATTGGAAGGGTGAGGTTCCAATGTATTTTCAATCAAATACAGGCAGACTGAATGACAACCTTTTGGTCATTCAAATGGTTCTACCTTTTGTGAATTCTTGTCATCTGGCCCCTTCATCTCCACCTTTTGAGGCCGAAGTAGCGCTTCAAATGGTTCTCATGCCTTCAATGCGGAGCCGCCCACGGTGTCGCACTGGACCCAAGCTCTTCATTTTTGGGGCTCTGAAAGGATCAGGATTGGATCTTGAAACCAACAGTTCCAGCTTGCTAGTAAACTTGTCCAAATGTTTTCGTGCACTTGAAATAACTTTTTAGTATGTGTCCAGGGTTTGAGACTCAATGACCATGGTGGTGAAAACATCTGATTGATCTTCAGAGCTTCGGCAACGGATTTCTCCGACGAGCCACAAGTATACTCCAGTCTCGGTGAAGCCAACCCGAGCGAAGCCAACTCTGACGTGTCCACGCGTTCTTCCCCTCAACACCAGCTACAGTGAGTGCTGCTTTTTGGCAACTTCTTGTCTTTTTTACACGGTTGCTTGGACAGACTATGCTCAGGATGCAATTCATGAAATCAATCCCACACCACCTGCATTATCTTCGCTCCAAGATCAGCCAAGATTCCGAGTGTACGTTCGCTCTTGATCCAAAAAGATCTTCAAGGCACCCTGCTCGCTATCTCAGTGCCATGAGCTCATCAGTCAGCACAACAAATCATCTTCGGGTTTGGAGGATCCAAAAGTGATTCGATTTGTTAGGAATTAGTTCCTTCGATGTCCGTATCGATTGTTCCTATGTCAGCTCTGGGACTTGGCCGCTAAGTGCCGCGCCAGACATTTTTCTCCAAGTGTCGCAGTCTTCTGCCTGTGTCAGAAGGGACTTGAAGCTAAAGCCAATGATACAGTGGTATTGCAGTTATCCAGTAGGAATGAGACAAGTATCGGCTCCCACGCTCTATCTTCATTGGGAATCAATGCAGTCTCAATGAGGTCAGAGGATTCTGTAAGTGTCATTAATCCTTTTTGTTTTCTTTGTATACACAGAGTCTCATCTAGTATCAGATTTAAATAGTAGTGCATACCATATATCATATAATATATCTAGATACATATTCACACAAACTAGTAACTAGATGTAACTAGTATGTATAATATAATATATATATATAACGTAGGTCAATTCATATGATATCCCATTCAAACTCTCCAAAGCATTCAGTGGCATTCAGGCTCCTGGATCATGACCCCATCGAAGTCCGCCAGATCCAGGCGCCGGACGCCCGGCACGAGAATCACCGATTCCATCGATTCCATGGGAGCGCTCCCGGAATGCGCCTCGACGAAGCTTTGAAAAAAAGGTAGCGGCACTCTCTGAGCCGAAAAGTGGCAAGCTTGGTGCGTCAGTCTTCAAATCTTCAAAGCAGCTCTTAACATCTACATACATCTACAGTGTCTACAGTATTTCAATGTACTTCATATGGATCAGCTCAAAAAGTTACAGGGATGTTCTTCAGATATCTTCAGATATCTTCAGATCACCTGAAGTCATAAAAATGACAGCCTCTCAAGTCTCAAAGTTTCTGTACAAAAGCCCAAGTGTTCCCAGCTGCGATACAACTCTCAAAAGGACCAAACTTGGGTCCCGACTTTGCTCAGACACAGCTTCCTCCCGGACCTTCAGGGCTGACAGATTGAAGCATACGGCATACATTATACAATATCATACAATTTATACATTTGGGCCTGTGACCTTCTGCACATGGAAATGACGCTACTGTGGAAAAATAATGAAAAATATGCAAAAGTGCTGTCCAATGAGAGATAGCCATGACAGCATGCACACTTCACAAAATGCGGTTTGCTTCAAGTCTCTATAGGCACTATCCACAAAGGTGAACAGTCAGGCTGCTGTCAGGATTCAAACCTAGCCCACCTCAAGGGGTGTTCGGCTCAACGACATCATCTGCAATGCTCTTGCGTCATCTCCAAGGACTGACGCTGCAGTTGGCTGCATTGGCTCTGGCGCTGGCGCGTCGTTTGCCTTCACATTGAAACAGGTCTCTTCAAGAGACAGCACGCAAAACCCAAATGGTGGAGATTGAATTTTTCCCTCGACCAATCTCTAGCAATGGCAAGAACTCACTTTTCTGTGGGAAACTAAAGAAAGCAGAAAGTTGAAAATACCCCAGCCTCATGCGGCTGTCGGCTCATCACCGCTGTCATCTCCTGCAACGCTTTCGCATCATCTTCGTCAAAGGCTGGCACTGCAGTCGCTGACTGACTCATTGGCACTGCAGTCGCAGGCGCTGGTACTGACGCACCATTTGCCTTCGGAGGAAGTGAAGGCAAAAATCTCACAAGTTTCAAAACCTGCTCAGAAGCAAAAGAAGGAGACGAAAAGGGATCCACGACTTGCGTAATTAGAAAGTCGGGAAGACTTGCAACAATTGCTGGCTCCCCAGGCACGGTGTGAGCACCCAGTCCCCAGCCCCTTGTCCTACCCCAACGTGGAATGTTTCTAGTTTGTACTGACTTCTTGAGAACCAAAACACCGCTTCGGCTCAGGCCTCAAACGGTTTTCTGTTCATCACTGCCATCATTTCCTGCAACGCTTTTGCGTCATCTTCCTCAAGGACTGACGCTGCATGCGCGGATTCTGTGGGCACTGGAGGCACTGGTGGGACTGGTGGTACTGGTGCTGGTGCCGGTGCCGGTGCAGTCGCTCCATTTGCCTTCAAACAAAATGGAAACAGCCAAAGTTCTCAAAGATCTCAAGTCAAAAGACCACGTCACCAGGGTTAGAAGTAAGCAACTGAGAGCACCTCAAGTTGGGAACAACCCACCTCAACTCGATAAACGAAAGATTTCCTCAACAAAGACTTTTCCTTTGGGATCCTTTCCAGCAGAATTGAATATATGGAATGGAATCAATCCACACATTGCCTTCCCTCCAGCCTCATGCGGCTTTCGGTTCATCACCAACAGCATCTCCTGCAATGCTTTCGCGTCCTCTTCTTCAAGTTCTGACGCTGCAATGGCTGGTTGACCCATTGCCACTGCTGGCGTCGGCGCTGGCGCTGGTGCTGCTACTGGTTCTGATGCACCATTTACCTTCGGATGAAATGAGAACGGGACAAAGATCAAAGGAATCTTAAGGCTGGAAGATGCTGCAACTTCATATGTGTGAAAAAGGAATCAAATCAAATCACTGAAGAAGTCAATTGGTAGAAACGGACTATGTCAAAAGGGCTTCTCAGACAAAGGAACTAGCACATGGAATTGGCCCACTCGATACCTTTAGTGTCTTTAGCTACAGCATTGACTTGCCTCGGCCATCATCTCCCGCAACGCTTTTGCATCTTCATCCTCAAGTTCTGCTGCAATCGCGGGTTCTTCGGTCGGCTCTGTAGGCACTGGCAGCACAGGTGCTGCTGCTGCTGCTGCCGCGCCATTTTCCTTTCACCAAAAGAAAAATAATTTCGCAGGACAAGTGGACCAGAGAATAAGGAAATGAAAAAAAAAATGTTCACCAGCAAGTCAGCTGGAGAAACAAGAGCTATGCTGAAAAGGGAAACTGATCTGAAATTGTTTGGAATGGTCCTTTGCGACAAAATAGGCTGTGGCGCTGCCCCTGCCTCGCCAGGTTTTCGGTTCATCACAGCCAGCATCTCCTGCAACGCTTTTGCATCATTTTCCTCAAGCGCTGCAGCTGTTTTTTGTTGCCATTGGTGCGCCACAGCGGCATTGCCTTCCTAAGCACAGCAGAAATTCCCACGGCACAGAGCTTCAGAAACTCGGCACAGCTCAGCCAAGATCTGCCAAGTTGCGACGGTCTCATTTGGTGCCCCTGGTGGCCCTTGGATCTGGTTCATCATGGCCTCAAAAGCCCTCAAATCCTCCGCCTCCTGCATCGCACTGCGATACTTTTGTGGATCCATGGGAACCCTTGCAGCAGTTAACTTGCTGTCCAGCTCATCACAGCTGACCAGACTGTGAAATGGGTGCTGTCGGTTTCAAGATCAGTGGATTTTGATCCATGCTTTGATTGAAGGAAGAACCTGTCTTCTAGTGACTCGAGTGCAGTTTCATATCCCAGTTGACTCAGTTGGCCTCTTCAGCAGATTTCTGAAAACCGGTGTGAAACTTCTCCACTTCTTGCTTCATCCTCACCTCATGGCTTCAAGCAATCCAGAAAACGATCTAAAATCACAGCAAGGTCATATTGAGCCCCACGCCTCTTGAGTTATGCGCATCATTTCGTTCTGCGACACGACGTTCCGAACAATTTTCCTGGCAGCCACTGTTTTGATGCACATCACACTTCATGAATTGAAAGCTTGGAACTTCTGCTTTCTCGAGACTCTTAAGATAAAGATAGCTGTCACAATGTCACAATGATTCCTTAGCTCCCTAAATGCAAAAATGGTAAGAGACCCATAGATTGCCATAGATGCGATGAAGTGGATGATGCCCAGCCGGTGAGATCGCCTCAGCTTCAGCATAAAGGCCTCATTCTGGCAATAGCGTTCCGCCGCCGAGGGCCCTTCATTCCTCAGGATCTTTCAGAGCCGCCAAGACTGAAACAAACAGCGAAACGCTGCTTGTTACCTGCTACATCATGATTGCTATTTTGCTGAAACAAAAACCAAATCCAACAAAAACCAGTATGCGGCGTTCTCAAAAGAATTTCAGATGGCTGCCCATCCGCAACCAAAAATCCAGTCTGTTCACTGGATTTCACAAACATTCCACAGTGTGACCACGCCGAATGCTCCCCGTGAACCAAGAGACTTCAGGTCCTCCACCATTGTTCGAATGTCTAAATCCCACTCCACAGCCTCGGAAGGGGAACTTGGCCATAAAACCAACCGCTTTTTCCAAAGCCGACAGGTGAAAAGAGCGCTGTGTCATGCCAAGTATCCCAAAGCAACACAGGGTTTGGGTGAGGCAGTGGAACCAGCTGTTCCAAAGTCGGCACCAGGGTCGCCTCAGTGCATGATGCGGTAAACAGTGACTGAAACAAGATCCACACTTCCGAAAGGACTTGGAACCGCAGAATTAGCCAAATACGATCCATAGTGACGCTGAAACAAGCATCATCTATAACCACCCCTCTCAGGAAGCATTCCACCGCAGCTGATGGTTGCTGTCAAGAAACTGAAAACGTGACCTTAGAACCAAGTGAATGAGCAACATCCAGATGATGGTTCGCTTTTCCAGCAGTTCTTGACACGATTTGATAGAAATTCTAATAATTTTGATCATTTCAGAATTTCAGTTAGTTAAAATTCACCGGTTGTGAAATCGGTCCAAACTGCAAAGAAGCAGCTCCTTGGCGCCAATAGAGAAATGCTCTCCACAATTTGTACAGTAGCAGCAATGCAATCAGCATCAGCTGCAAAGCAATAGAAACGATCATCAAATCATGGCCTTAGCAGGGGCTGCATGCAGCGTCGCAGCATGGCTTGTCAATAGCCTCATCACACACCATGAGCCCTCTGGCACCAACAATACCTACAGTACCTACGGATCAGCCAATTCCTCAGGCACATCGGCGCAACTTCGCAGAACCCCAACATCATCCCAAGCAGCAAAGAGGGACAAAGAGTGACATGGATTCCATGGACTCGCCCAACTCCAACAAATGCAAGCGAATCCTTGGATAGCTGGATAAGGTTGGCAGCCAAAAATGTGCGCTGTAAATTCAAACATGTGGCCAGCAAGAGCAAGAGTAACTTGGTTCAACCAGTGTATGGTTGCAATGAGCTTTGCCAAAAAGAATCCACCTGAAACCTTATTTGATCTCTTGATGCATATAGACTCTAGGTAAAAGAGCAATCAAAATAATATGCTGATATGCTATCCTGCTGCTCTCCACTGCTACCTTCTATCGATCAAGCATCGGAAGGTACATGGTTCCAGCTAGCGGAACCAATTTGAAAAAATAGTCTCGCTTGAGTGCTGTTGGCAGCACAAGGATAAGCAATGAATAATTGTCTCTAACAGCCCACACTATGCAAATGAAAACAAATGAAGCAGTGATGAGAGGAACGGAAAATCACTCAAGGATTCTTGTGAGTTTTCTTTGCTTCAAAGTTGTTGAAACTGAGAATTTGCTGGATGTCTAGTATGAAACAGCATAATCAAACCCATGACATCATGTACAAACGTGCATTCGAAATGGCAATCAAACACCACGGATGGTCTTCATCTCAAGGGTATCTCCGAAGCTATATCAATACAGTCTCATAAATTTGATACGTTGGATAGAATTATATAACTAGAGTGAAAGTATGGCACAGCAGGTTTTGGCATCTTCCTCCATCTAGTCCCGTTTCAAGTGCCATGATCTTTTGGCGCCACCCTTTGGCCGCCTTCCTTAAGTTTGGAGCACCAAAAACAGACTAAACTTTTCTCCAGCAGCATCCTTCCCCTGCCCTACACGTGTGAAAACACCTGCCAAACTAGGATGCAATCACTGGAGCTCACCCAATGGAGCCGGCTTGTCTACTGCGTCAGTGACGAGTCTTGTGTTATGTGCTCAAGCAACTGCCTTGCACAAGTACAATTTTCGCTGGACCCAGCCCGGGAGATAGCTACAAGCTGCCGAATGTTGGATTTTCGTTCGGCTGCATCTTGCTGCACAAGGGCTTGTGACACATGACTGCTGTAGGACAGCAGCATTCCCAAGATGCACTCTTGGAGAATTTTGTCCCTTTCATCCTGCAGACTTCTGAAAAGAAGTGGCAAAACGCCCGCTTGTAGCGCCATGTGGCGAATGGCTGGTGGCATGGTCACACGTTCAAGGCAAAAGAGAATGGTCTGACGTTGGCACTTGTCCCGTCGGAGAAGGTCTATCAACTTGGGAACACATCCGTGCTCACAAGCTTCAATTGGATAGGTTTCCTGTCGGGACATCATCAATGCCCACAAGGCCGAAGCAGCAGCTTCTTTCAAGTCATCACTAGTGTGGCCCAGGAGTTGCACCAGTACAGGGATTGCTGCCTTCAGCCGATCTGCACTACTTTCAGCAAGCCAATGAATGGCTTCCAGAGCTGCAAGTTTGTTGTCATAACATCCTGACTGAGCTATGGAGATCACTGCCGGCACTGCATCAGTGCCAGAAAGTTCCAATGGATCACAGCCCAAATCACATGCGTGGCTGATGGCTTCAAGCGCACACCTCTGTACGCTCGTGGATGGATGCTGAACAAGCCGCGCCAACAAATCGCCAACTCCGACCTCCCTCAGCAGACCGTCCACTTCGTCGCTGTAGCCTCTCTCTCTGGAAACCATCTCCAGAACAGCTGATGCTGTTGACATAGACCCCCAAGGTGCTGTAGCGACCAAACCCGAAGCCAATAAACGCACAATGTATCCTCGGTTCTCCAGATCAACCCATTTGACGGACGACAGCACAGCAGCAACAGCCCATGCAGCCCGGCATCGGTCCTCTTCGGCCCAAGCACGAAACCGATCTGCACACCCCACTATGGCAGCCCGTGCTGCGACATGAGGGCTTCGCAACCTCTCCCCCAAGTGTTCCAGTTTGGAGCTGACGGTTTCCCAGTTTTTCTTCCATTTCAGCATACAACCAGTGCGCCAAAGCATGGAACACCTGGGCCATTGCATGGCATGGAACTGACTGTTGGCACCTGCCAAAACTGTGAGCTCTACCACCGACAGCGGAGATATATCGAAGGAGGCCACGAGGACGGAAAAAATATCCTCTGTCCACAATGACTTTGTGGTAAGGCCACCATGTTTTGGGGTTTCAGCCGTCATCCGCATCGTTTGTCTCTGAATCGTTCCTACATAAACAGCTAAACAGTAGGCCTAGCATAGTCCTGCACAAGTGATTTTTTTATCGGCACTTGCTTCAAAACCAGATCTCTAAAGAATATGGTTTGTCTTCAAGGGTTGGTCGGAGTCCATTGTTCAACAAATCTAAAATTCCACTTGGGACTAAACATGTCACTATGTACCACTCATGCCAACAACCCTAAAAAAGTGTGGACCGTTTGCTTGTTCCATTTCCGCAAATTGCACTTCACATTGAAACTGAGCCAATCTTTCGCAAAATACCACCCTAATCAACATTGCCATCAAATCTGGTTGCGGTCACCACTATTTAAATGGTTACAGAACCGGCAAATGGCAGAATTTTGCCATCTTGTCCAAACAGTGCCTCTTGTTGAAGGTAAATGATCACACTCTCAGTTTGCAATTGATTTGCACGGCAAATGATAATCTCACAAAAAAAAATTCCCCGAACGCATCGCTTGTTCAAAATTAACAACGTCCATTGCACAAAATGAAATGTTTCTGTTGGGTTTGCAAATGTGTGGGTTTGATTCAATTTCATGATGTTTTGGGCAAGTACGAATGGTTATCGTATTTTCAAAGAATTCGCACGTTGCCACATCAGCAAAGAAAAGTTCGGGCATCGTAAATCAAAAGCAAACGAAAAAAGGACGCAAAACATGATTTCGGTTCGGAACAAGCAAACATATATTGTCTTCAAAATGTGACTGGATTTCATTGTTGTGGTATTTTGTGTTGTGTTGTTTTTTCGACCCAGACATGGATTGGTGCGTTGCATTTTTCAATGACAAAATGGATTGGTGACCAGTTTGAATTTACGTATTTCACAGTACTGGTGCAACACCATTCGCTACCGTTTTCATGGAACAACATTGTCCGATGCGTTGGCTGGCCAATTCGGCCACCACGTCTGGACCCTGTGACATGCATCCAACAAGTGATGACAATTTCACTTAGCACAGACAATTTTGGCCCCATTTCAAGTTTGCTGAATCTGTTTCATGAAGTCTGTTATTCCCACAATGTTTTCATTTGTTTTGCTGTTACGGAAGCTGACCTCACGATTGCAGTTCAAGGTGGGCATTCATTACAGTATAAATTATATCCCACACAAGTGGATACAAAAAGAAAACGCAAACCAAACAGCGAGCTAATAAACGCATATCGCAAAAATAAATATTTACCAGGAATATATATATATATGTATGTATGTATATACCAGTAGTACCGCACAAGGCGGTGGCGGAAATTTCAAAAATAGGAAACCTATAGGATAGGTTGGTTGTTGTGAATCAGGGATGGCAGAGCAAAGCCACTGATGGACTGAAAGGTGTTTCATCTCTCTTTTTTTCTCTTTTTTTCTCTCTGTTTCTCTATTTTTCTCTGATTATCTACCTACCTACCTACCTACCTACCTCCCTACCTACCTACCTACCTACCTACCCTACCTACCTACCTACCTACCTACCTACCTACTGATCTATCTGTTTATCTATCTACCTATCTATCTATCTATCTGTCTGTCTGTCTGTCTATCTATCTCCCTATCTATCTATCTATCTATCTATATCTATCTATCTATCTATCTATCTATCTCTCTATCTATCTACCTACCTACCTACCTATCTAGCTGTCTAGTTTTCTAGCTATTTGTCTGTCTATCTATCTATCTATCTACCTACCTATCTATCTATCTATCTATCTAACTATTTATCTATCAATCCGTCTACCTATGTATTTATCTATTCATCTATCTATCTATCTATCTATCTAACTATTTATCTATCAATCCGTCTACCTATGTATTTATCTATTCATCTATCTATCTATCTATCTATCTATCTATCTATTTATCTATCTAACTATCTATCTATCTATCTATCTATCTATCCATCTATCTATCTAACCTTCTACATATCTATCTATCAATCTATCTATCTGTCTATGTATCTATGTATCTATCTATTTATCTGTACGGTAACTACATTTAAATATACGGACTTTTAAATATACGAAAAGGTATTTTAGACTACCTCCGGGAAGGTTTTCCTTGGCCCGCCCGGCCATTTAAACATACAGAATCCAATTCATTTAAACATACGGTAGCTACATTTAAATATACGAATTGGTATTTCATACTACCTCCGGGGCCTCGCGGTCTTTGTATCTAACTATCTGTCTATGTGTCTGTGTATCTGTCTGTCTACCTATCTATTTATCTATCCATCTATCTATCTATCTACCTATCTATCGATCGATCTATCTATCTATCCATCCATCTATCTATCTATCTATCGAACTATTTATCTATCAATCCGTCTACCTATGTATTTATCTATTCATCTATCTATCGATCTATCTATCTATTTATCTATCTAACTATCTATCTATCTATCTATCCATCTATCTATCTAACCTTCTACATATCTATCTATCTATCTATCTATCTATCGATCGATCTATCTATCTATCTATCGATCGATGGATCGATCGATCGATCTATCGACTATCGATCTATCGAATTTATCTCTCTATCTATCTATCTATCTATCGATCGATCGATGTATCTATCTAACTATCTATCTATCTATCCATCCATCCATCCATCTATCTATCTCTGTCTGTCTGTCTGTCTGTGTGTCTATCTGTCTATCTGCCAGATTGAAAACGAAGCTCTTCTGCGAGACTTCCTCATTTTTCGAACTTAACAACACCAAAAACAAAACAATTCTGCGACACTTCTTTTATTTTTCAACCTAAGAACGTCCAAAACCGCAGCAAATCTGCGAGACTTCCTCAATGTTTGAACTTAACAACGTCAAAAACAAAGCAATTCTGCGAGACTTCCTCCAAAAATGGAAAGTTGAGTGCAGCGCTGATAGCCTCGTACCAACGCGTTTTGCGATTTTTTCATTCCACCTGTGTAAAGTACTGCGCCTGCCACGAAAAATTGATGCCAGGTCATACGAAGTGCTGCACCTGTCACGCAAAATCATCTCAGCAAACCTGAAGGTTTGATACTCCAAAATGCAACCCCTCTCAGGAAATGAGCGCCCTGACCTCCGAACATCTCTGATGAACATGTCTTCTGTACTGCACCTGCCACGCGAAATGCATCTTTGAAGATCCTCTTCAAATGCCCCACGCCTGCCATCGTTTCTGGAAATGCTGCAAAACCTTCACGTTTTGCTCACTTTTGACAAGGTGCACAATCCTTTGCGCCTGCCACGCAAAACGACATCTGAACCTCCAAAAGTGGCGCGAACATGTAGTGCTTTGTACATTTTCACTTCGAAATGTGCTTCGCGCCACAACGGCATGCACTTTTTCGACATCTCAACTTCCAAAAGTGGTCCGGACCCCGTGTGCTTTGTACATTTTGACTTCGAAATGTGCTTCGCGCCACAACGGCATGCACTTTTTCGACATCGCAACTTCCAAAAAGTGGTCCGAGAATGGTGTGTTTTGTACATTTTGACTTCGAAATGTGCTTCGCGCCACAACGGCGTGCACTTTTTCGACATCTCAACTTCCAAAAGTGCTCCGAGACCCAGGTGTTTTGTACCTTTTCACTTCAAAACCTGCTTCGCACAACAACGGCGTGTAACTTTTCATTTCTCATCTCCCCAGATGTCTCCGCCCCCGCCGCTTTAGCGAGCCTACTTTTCGACCCTCCGGAGCCACAAAACATCGAAAAAACACAGTGTTTCGCGACTTCCCTACCTTTTCGCACACCTGCATCTTCTTTCTTCTGATCTTTTCTCTTCTGACTTTTCTCCCCTCTGACTGCTCCCGTCTGGCTGTCCGCGCCTCTGCTTTTTCATCTGTCCATATTGTCGGAAGTTTAACTTCTAAACTTCCTTCGATAACATAAAACTAGACGACGGATGGCCCGAGAGCGTAGAGGAGCAGGGTCTTCTCTTGTTAGTATGGAGACACCATATTACAAAACAATATGTTTTACAACCCTGCCCATGCTGTGCAAAGCGCAATATATAAACAGTTTAAAAACAAAACTGGGAATGTCGGAACTAAAAACGCAATAGTCACCATTCTTATCTTCATCCCGGGAGTCGAGCTCCTTCTTCCAATCATTTCAAATTTAACATAGACCCGGGCAAGCCGGCGGCGGAAGTTTCCCAAACATAAATGACCTATAGTTCAAAGACACCCTGTCCCGACCGTGTCCTTCTCTCGACAACCGTTTGATTTTTTCAGCGAGAGACGAAGCAAAGTCTTCACACTCCACACTCCACACTTCACACTCCAAACTTCAAACTTCACACTCCACACTTCACACTTCACACTTCTCACTTCTCACTGCTTCCTTCACACTCCAAACCTCACACTTCACACTTCACACTGCGCTCTTCGCACTCCAAACTGAAACTTCACACTCCACACTTCACACTTCTCACTTCCCACTGCTTCCTTCCCACTGCACACTTCACACTGCACTCTTCACGCCCCACACTTCACACTGCTCTAAACCTACGTGCAACAAAAAAACACTAGCGCCAAAATGGAGAAAATCTGCTAACAAATCCATTTCGCAGCCTTCATGCAGCCAGTCCAAGACGATTTACGAGATCCAGCTGCAAAAGACATTACGCATACAGCCAAAGCAAGAAGCAACCTTGACGCAGCCATTCCAATGCGATCTGCAGAGACTGAGTTGCAAAACACAATAGAACTACGCGCAACGGCGTCGGAAATTGTAGCTCCAAAACCGGACTTCGACGCCAGAGCAAAAAAAAGACGATTTTGAAGCACTTTTTAAAAGGATTTTTAGAAGGAAAATCACTAGCGCCAAAATGGAGAAAAAAACGCATTTCGTGCGAGACTTCTTTCAAAACTCTATCGGCAACTCATCCACCAGCACCACTTGCAATCCCATTTACATTGCGGGAACGATCCTACAGTTGCAAATCACAATGGAATTCTGTCGACCGCGCATGCACGAAAAACACTTGAAACCCCATTTACAATGCGGAACCGATCCGACCATGATCCGAACATGATCCGAGCATGATCCGAGCATGATCCGAGAATGATCCGACCACACACGAGACCGTCTCGCAACCGTCGCACCGCAGAGGTAGATCATCGAGGTTCGGGGACGGACTTTGTGTGGAAAAACATAGGCTTTCGTGCATCTGCTATCTCTCAAAAACGCATTTCGTGCGAGACTTCCTTCAAAGCTCCATCGGCAACTCCTCCACCAGCACCACTTGCAATCCCATTTACATTGCGGGAACGATCCTACAGTTGCAAATCACAATGGAATTCTGTCGACCGCACATGCACGAAAAACACTTGAAACCCCATTTATAATGCGGAACCGATCCGAGAATGATCCGAGCATGATCCGACCACACACGAGACCGTCTCGCAACCGTCGCACCGCAGAGGTAGATCATCGAGGTTCGGGGACGGACTTTGTGTGGAAAAACATAGGCTTTCGTGCATCTGCTATCTCTCAAAAACGCATTTCGTGCGAGACTTCCTTCAAAACTCCATCGGCAACTCATCCACCAGCACCACTTGCAATCCCATTTACATTGCGGGAACGATCCTACAGTTGCAAATCACAATGGAATTCTGTCGACCGCACATGCACGAAAAACACTTGAAACCCCATTTACAATGCGGAACCGATCCGACCGATCCGACCATGATCCGAGAATGATCCGACCACACACGAGACCGTCTCGCACCCGTCGCACCGCAGAGGTAGATCATCGAGGTTCGGGGACGGACTTTGTATGGAAAAACATAGGGTTTCGTGCATCTGCTATCTCTCAAAAACGCATTTCGTGCGAGACTTCCTTCAAAACTCCATCGGCAACTCATCCACCAGCACCACTTGCAATCCCATTTACAATGCGGGAACGATCCTACAGTTGCAAATCACAATGGAATTCTGTCGACCGCACATGCACGAAAAACACTTGAAACCCCATTTACAATGCGGAACCGATCCGACCACCATGTGGTTCGGTAATAGTTGCATGACTTGAGATTGTTACAAAGAAGCTACGGGGGAGTTATGCAGGACTTACGCAAGTTTATTATATCTTTCTTGCAACTTTTTTATAAGTATGTTATAAGTTTTTTAACTATATTTATGGTATTTAGAAGCATTGGCTGAAAGAAACGCGATGGAAGCGAGGAAATGTGCACGCGTCGTTTTTTGAATAAAAAACAATGTGCCAAATCAAAATAAACCACAGCAGTCACACCGCCGCAGCTATTCAGAAAATACATGTGGTGCACAAAAGAATGCCACAGCAGTCACACCGCCGCAGTGATGGATGACTTCTTGCATTATTTTTTCGCTGGCGCTCAATGTAAGCAGATCAAGCGCTCACCATCTTGTCGCCACCATGCAGGCATGGTGTAGGGATTTTCCAAAGAAACGGACCGGCTCCAGTGATTGTTGGTGATATACCAAGCGCTGTGGCCATGTTTGAGTTCGACCTTGGATGCGCATAGAAGCCCTTCATGTCAAAGAATCTGTGCAGTTTATGAAAAATATTTGCGATGGGAAACAAGAAAAACGATCTGGAAAGTGCTGGAAAAGGAATGTTAAAAACAGTAGAAGGTACCAGCTCCAAGCGTTGCAGCAAAAATACTCCGTGTGAGCCATCTGTCAAGATCCATTGCAGGATGCCAGCAGCATCAGGGAAAATGAGCACATCGCCTGGTTTTGCAGTGCTATTGTAGACTTTGACGCCGGCAGCTGTCTTGTTCAAGATTGCAGTTGGCCGTTGCCATGTTTCCAGAATGGATTCTGAAGCTGCTTTCAAAGGAGATAAGAATTGTAGAGGCTGCAGGACTGGTGGCATATGTTCGGCCATCGTTTGTGCCTGGGAATGAAGCATCCGTGGCAGAAGCGCTGCAGCAAATCCGGCTTCGACTTTGGACACGAAGCGCTCAGCAAGGCCTTGCTTATAACATTTGTGCTTTGATTCCATGGGCTTGCAAGACAATGCAACACCCAATTTGAGCCACGAATCTGGTAAGTGAAGCCTGTGGTGATGCTTCGGGCGGCAGCACTGCGCAGTGTATGCTGCCGAGAATTTCAGCTGATGTTCTGTCTGCAATCTTTGCAGCTTCGCGACATGGTCAGGGGTGATTTTCCTCCACATATAGACTAATTTCCTGATCTCCATCGCGATTTCTGACAAAGTTCTGAAGCTGTCCAATGGCAGACGCAAAGAGTCAACATTGACAACCAGCATCTCTGCATACCAGCGCATCAGAGGCAGTACGCTTTCACATTGTTCTGATTGGCCTTTATAAGTATCGCCATTCCACATTTTCGGAGTCCACAAAGATTTCATGTAGCCAACTCTGCCGTGGCTTGAAACTTTTGGCCCTTCCCACTGGGACTCCAAGCACACTGTACGCAAATCTTCTAATTTCAAATCGGTTGCTTTGGAGATGGCATGCCAGAAGAGACAAAGCTCTTGATTTGCAACGCCGTTGCTGAAGTAATTGTGCATGCTATCCAAGCAAACATCACTTGGCCGCAATCGCGGGCGAAGGCTGGCATCAAACAAGATTGATTGTGGGACATAGGTGATACCATAGCTCTTTTCCAGCTGCTCACGCATCTTTACATTCAGATGAGGAATCCGTTCGGCGATGTGGTCGCAGCATGCCCAAATCGTGGCATCGCTTGCCATTTCGAATCTGCTCACATCGTGCTCGGAAATGTCTCGGAAACGGTCGTCTGACAGCCCACTGTCTTTTTTGAGGATGTTCTGACACCACAAGCAAGGCTTGAGACCGCTGCTTCCCTTGATGGCCAACGTACTCTGCAGAGCTGCTAAGTCGGAAATGAATAAGGCTTTTGTTTTCTGCTTGTACCACATTGGCTCGTCATTCCTGATGTGGTCATTTTGTAAAATCTCAAGACATCAAGACAGGTACGGTATATAGGGAAATAAGTATACCGATGGAAACTGAAAAGCATTATAGCCGAGAATCAATCGAACAGCGAAGCCAGTGAGATACTCATCACGGAGAACATGTTCCACCAATGCGCTCATGGCCTTTGCCAAACCACCATCCACATGGTCGCAAGTGGAATGCTGAATCAAGCCAATGCAAAGCCACATCTCCTCTTGGTGCAGCCATTTTCCTAGCTCCAGCCAGCTGAAATATATCAGGGTTGCTTTCATCTTCTTGTGAACTGCTAATACGTTGCCCGCTTGGGCTTCGTCGTGGTAAATCAAGGGTGACAGCAAGTTGCCACATTGGAGCAGACGCTCCTTCAACAGACCAGAGAGGGCTGGCATTCGACAGCCAATGAAGCGCAACAACTTTGGCATGTTTGCAACTGGAAAAGCCTCTGGAAGCTCTCTCTTCGAAGGCAGATGCAAGACATCAAAGCACTGACTTTGCTCTAGTGCTTCTTCGACATGTTGGCCAAACTGCCTTGAAGATAGCGATGATCCTTCAGGTGGCTGTGCCAAGTTCCAGATCAAACGGGTCGCTCTTTCAGAGGCACCTTTCACAGCAATAGCTGCGCTCACATTTCCAAGTACAGTCTCATCACATTGCTTTCGCTTCCGGGGCATGCAAAAAAGTTGTTACATAATGTCTGAAGCATGCTAAGAGGAACTCTGAAGCAAGACATGCATGTCATGCGTCATGGTACCTCCATGGGGTAGTGAAAGCCTCTGGAGAAACGGTTCAATGAAGTATTGCTGTCTTGGTCATGCTTACCTTATAGAAACACGGTAAAAGCTGAAGGAACAAATGTTGACAAGGCATCTGAGCATGTCTTGCACAGCAGGCACACCGCCGCACAATTGAATCAATTTCCCAACATGTCAAAAGAAGACAAGTCTAGTCTTGTGATCACACGGCATCCATGGAAAAAAGTAATTGTGGCATGGAGGCTGCACACTATAGAATGCCAGGCGGCTTTTCGCACGGAAACTCGAAGAGCACAGCGGAGGAAGCTGCATAAACTGACTCCAGACATATGTGAGCCTTGCCAAAGATATCACCCCCTGGCAACGCATACGCTGGCTTCGCATGCGTATGGTTGAAACACCAAACCCCTAAATATCTTTTAAGCAAACACCTATAGCACATCTACTTCTGAGCACGCTTCTTTGCACATGCCTTTGGCCGCAGCTTTGCTGCAGCATTCTGCTCGTTCACATTGCGTACCTGCACTCGGAAATCGGCCATCAATGCCTGGGCAGCTTTCGTCTCAGTCATGAAATGGGCCTTGTTGAAGGACAACACTTCATGCCCATCAAAGTTCTGCTTGTTCTGAACCTTGTGCACCACAGATGTGCACTCAGCCTGCCACTTCTCCATTTTCTCCAAGGCTTCGGCAACTGCATCTGCCAGTTCGTCATGAAACTTGTCTTTGCCTTTCTTCTCAATGGCAGCTGTCGCGGCCTTCAAGTTGTTCACCAGGCTCGACAGCGGCCCCAAGCTCTTGCTGGCCAAAGTGCGCGCGCTCTTCATGGCTTTCTCGTTTTCTCGAGCCTGCTTCTTCTCCATGGCTGCCTTTTCGCGAGCTTCTTGTTTCGCACTCTTTGCGCCGGCAGTCTTGGTAATTTTCACTGGCTCCTCTTCACTGTCGGTCGGGATGATAACACAGACTTCTGCAGACTTTTGAGAAGACGTAACAGGTTCGGCATCCTGGGCTGGTGACTTCTTGGATCCACTTGCCTTGCTCTTGTCAACAGCCTGACGTTTTTTCTTGAAAGTCCTCTCCCTGGTCAAGAGCTCTTTCTCGATGCTACTCTTGATGTCCTCAACACTGACTGATTTGACGGGGACCCGCCACAAGCGACCAATGGGAGCAGGATGTTCTTCATAGTCTTGGTAGCTTTCGACCTGTTCCTTCGTCCATCCTTGGGCCATGTGGACTGCCAGTGGCAAGTAGGCCCCACCCACAGACTTGATCTCTCTTCTCTGGACCTCTTTGGCGCGGACTTCAACTAAGGCAGCTCGAATGAGCTTCCACTTGCCTTGGCCATCTGCGTCGTCCATGCTGTGACTTCTTTGCCAGAATTCACGTTGGTCACGAAGGCTCATGGTTGTCAACTCACTAGGCCTTTCCCCAAGGTTGCGGTAGAGGATCATGTCCACACGCTTGCATTCTTTGCAAGTGAACGAATTGGCTCCTTTTTGTACAGACTCCATAGGGTCAACAAAGAGGTTGCAATACCTGCAAGTGACTTTGCCAGCGATGTCGTCCAAGGCCGCATCCACTCCATCCATAGCCTTGGACAACTCGTCAGCACTGAACTGTGGCATTGTCTCAGCCACATCAGCCATGGCTATATAGGTGCCTGTCGTTTTTAGAATTGCTTTGCAACTCTATACCCAGGAAAAAGCTGCATATGAAGAATCAAACTGCCATGCATCCAACATGGCGGTCAAACATGTAACACATTCAGTGGAGTCAGATGGGCTGCACTGTCATGTATACTGACCCTGCGGCTGCTCAAAAAGCGTTAGGAAGGCAATTCTCCTATAATGCATTGTCTCTGGATGAATGGTGACATGTTTTGCAATTGCTTCCAAGGACTGCTGCACATCACCACGCAGCTACATACACCTAGGCTCACAAGTGGAGTTGCCAGGTCACAAACTTTCGAAAAAAGGGGACATTACCCCAAGCTAAGCAAAACTGCCTGGGCGTTGTCGCCCTCATACTCACTTGCCACCACCACAGCGCTTCTTGCCATTCTTCTTCTTCTTGGACTTGATTCCACTGGATGGCCCTAAGCTCCCAGTCGCAGGTGTTGACTCTTCCTCGTGGTGGTCAGCCTGGTTGCCAACAGAGCGACCATCCTTCTTACCTTCTCCCTTCAGGTTGGCCAAGCGATCACCTGCAGCTTCATGAGAAGATGCCGCAGTGACATCTGGAGAATCTTCGCGCATGCGAGAAGCTTCCATGGCACCAAAGAGTAAGTGAGCCAGCAGGACCTTCATGTCATCCTTGCTTTCCCCAGAGGTTCTGCTGTTGAGAATCTGCTGGGCTCTCTCAGGGGTGATGGATGTGCCGGAGCAGTCACCTGCTCGAACGCTGCCGTCACTCATGATGGCAAAACCATATTGAGGTGCATCAGCCATGGGGCTCTAAAGACACGGAGGAGTCCCTGCAGCTAAGTGATTCACCAAAAAAACTGCACAGCAAAGAAACTGAATCAAAGTCTCTGATCGTCCATGCCACAGCGGTGACACCGCCGCAGCAAAGCAAGATGTCAAGACTACATGCTGACTACTAACTGCCTACCCCTAGCCTACATGCAGTCTACAGCCTACGCATGAGTAGTCTCAGAGTAGACGGACAGCAGACTACATCTAGACTACGCGTAGGTCAAGAGTAGACGCATACCAGACTACGCTCAGACTACGTGTAGACGGAGCAGACTACACCTGGACTACAGGACCGTAGTCTGTAGACTACGCTATAAAATGACGTAGTCTGAACGTAGTCTCGACGTAGTCTGAACGTAGTCTCGACGTAGTCTGAACGTAGTCTCGACGTAGTCTGAACGTAGTCTCGACGTAGTCTGAACGTAGTCTCGACGTAGTCTGGGGTGTTTAAGCATCACCTGGTGTGAGTTGCTGCAAGAAGATTCTGTTTCCAACCTGCTCTGTAACTTCCTTTCTGCATTGTGTTGCTGCTTTGTTCCTTGGAAGGGAAAACCTTTTTTGTATATTTTGTCTTCTCTTTAAGGACAACATACAGGGGGAAATGCTGCCCAATTTTGCCGTATAGTTTAGGGTTTAGGATTTAGGGTTTAGGCTTTTGGGGAAAATGTAAGTTAAAATGTCTCTATTTTTCCGGCTTCTACCTAATGAGTCAACGCGCAGCTATCCTTTTTCTTCAGCCCTGATAAATCCTATAACATGGTGCTGCCTTGCTTGGGTTCTATCAAACTGCTGGCTTTTGGCTGGTTTGCGTTTTTGTTGACGCTAGGTTTGTATACTCTACAACATGTAGCAAGCTGTTTGCATTGGCTTTTCTCCAAGCCAAGAATGCCTTGCCATTGCCCAAAACACCCAAAAACAGACCCAGTCTGTTTGTGGCATCTTTTCTCTCAAAGGGTTTCGTTGGGGGGAGGCAAGCCAACGGGATAATTGCCAATTCTTTTCTTTCTACAAAGCAAAAGTTATGTTACCTAACAAACCACGGCGTTTGTAAATGGTTTTGGGTTTCTCAACCAAGGCCACAGCAGAGACACCGCCGCAGCCCATGCACAAGATTGTGTTAGGTGGTCGTTTCCCTAACAAGACCGGGTTTGAACAGGTTCTAAAACGTTGTTATTAGTTGCATGCTGCATGTGTTTAAACTTGACATAAACAGTTTGGTTTCAAAGCCACAGCGGTGGAACCGCCGCAGCCCATGCGCAAGATCATGCCTGTCGTTTTGTTTCTCAAATGAACACATGCACCAGAAACGCAGCTGCGACAACGTCAGTTGACAAGTAACAACAGCATGCACTCTGTTCTCCATACTGCTTGCATGCTCGTTGTTTCTGATAGACACTTGTCAACCAAAGGCTGCACTAACAGAGCGCACTTCTCGTGAGCACATGCCTTTTTTCCACCCAGGCCACCAGTGCAAACTTTGATGTTCAAATTTCCCAGCAGCTTCTCCTTGAAAGCTGGCCAACATCGCAACTGCATAGCTCTACCTATCTCTATGCACATTGCATCGGTGATGCCGATGAGTTCTCGTATGCGTTGGCCTTGAACAGGGATTTTGACAGAAGGCACACGCATGAGGACACGGTCCATGTGGACGAGCATATCCAGCTGCCATCGCTGGAGCAGGGCCATAAGGAGCAGCATGCGGATTCTCTGCCCCACTGTAACTGCACGTGCTCGACGTGAATGAGCCTTGGCTTCGCATTGTGGTCATTGCAGGCTCGTTGGCATGACTCGAAGCTGCACTCTCGGAAGAAGCCATGCGGCGCTGCAGCTCCATGACGATCAACAACAACATTGCAAAAAGGGATTGGATGGACTGCGACTCTATTGGTCCAGTCTCCATGGGGAGACCCAAGACAAAGCAAATAGACACTGGTGGGCCAACAACTTCGTTTGCGTCCGAATAAACCACAGGAAGGTCACAGTCGGTGCATGACATAATTGAAACATGTCCGTGCCAATGCACATCATGACATCTGTAGCTTAGTCGTGACAATGACACGTCATCACATTAATCTCGCAAGAAGGCCACAGCAGAGACACCGCCGCAGCATTTATGCATCATGCTGTGGCAAGAAACAAAGAAACAAGTGAAGAAACTCTTCGCACTGCCAATTCAAAGCAGCCCCCCTTCTAGTATAGAACTTGCTGTACAATACATGAATCTCACGGGCAGCCCTGACAAGGCGGACTTTTTTGTTCCATCTTTTTCTTTTCTTTGTGCTTCTTCTTGTGCTGTTTGCGGCTAGTCTTGCCACGACCTTTGTCGTAACCATGCTTCTCCCGGAAAACTGCTCTTGCCGATTTCGACAAAGGCTTCTGTGTTACATGAGCTGGCCCATCGGTTGTGGAAGCAGCAGGGCAAGAAGTATCTTCATCTTCAGAG